CCAAACCCTAGGCCCTGCGCGCTGCGCGCTTGGGCTGCGCGCAGACCCGCGGTGAAGCACGGCGGCGCGGGTGCGCAAGGATTAGATGTCCCGCTCTAAACCCTAAACCCTAAACCCTAAACCCTAAACCCTTGGGCTTACGCCTCAGAGCCAAACCCCCGGCTAAACCCGCAGCTCCAAACCCTAGGACTCAGGCTGGGGTGCTGCGGGCTCAGCTTCAGGGCCTAATACTCTAAACCCTAAACCCTAAACCCTCGTCGCGCCCCGCGCCCACGTGACGGCGAAGCAGAACCAGCCCCAAACCCTAAACCCTAAACCCTAAACCCTGGAGCGTGCTGGCTGCGAGACGACCCCGCGACCGGGCCACCCCCCGCAGCCCCCAAACCCTAAACCCTAAACCCTAAACCCTCGCACACCCTGGGCAATGGCGGCTCTGCGTTTTTCTTTGGAAGTGCCTTGGTAAACCTCCTTGGCATCAAAAAAGGGTTTATTCGCCAACTGGTCAAGTCTTTTAAACCTCTCGGGGGTTTGCTGCCGCAGCTGCTGCAGCACAGCAGTTTCCCGCAGCAGCAGCCGCGCCAGCTCCGTCTCCCGCAGCTCCAGCATTTCGAAAAAGATCTGCAGCAGCAGCAGCAGCAGCAGCAGCAGCAGACGCGCAGTTGGTCTTTGCTTCGCTGGCGCAGCGCAACACGAATTCATTCGCCCTAAACCCTAAACCCTAAACCCTCGCTTCAGCCATTAAGACTGAAGCAACCCGAGTGAAGCAGCAGCAGCAGCAGCGACCCAAACGAAAAGCCATTCCGCAGCAGCGCCTCAATGAGCAGCAGCAGCAGCAGCAGCGCCTCAATCCGCAGCAGCAGCAGCAGCACCAACTCCAACCTGCAGCAGCAGCAGCACCACCACCACCCACGCCAACCACCAGCAGCAGCACCACCCCACTCCCACCCCCACCCCCAGCAGCAGCAGCAGCAGCAGCAGCAGCAGCAGCAGCAGCAGGACCTGCTCGTAAAGGAGCTGCTGGGTTTGCTCGGAAAGGCTGGCCATGGAAGCAGCTTTGAGGACTTCGTCCCACTTTCCCTGGTGTACGTACACCACAAACTTGTCCACACTTTCGACGGCATTCAAAGCCACTCCGCTTTCCTCCTGCAGCATCTGTACGTACACCCCAACGCCGCACTTCGGCTTCGTTTTGTTTTTGTTTCTTTATTTTGTTTGTTTACTTTTTGTTGGATTATTGTTTGTTTATTGTTTGTTTGTCTGTTTTGTTATTGTTTGTTGGTTCATTTGTTTATTTGTTTGTTTGTTTGTTTGTTTGTTTGTTTTGTTTTTTGTTTGTTGGTTTGTTTGTTTATTTTGTTTATTTTGTTTATTTGTTTATTCGTTTGTTTGTTTATTTGTTTATCGTTTGTTTATTTGTTTGTTTGTCTGTTTGTGTGTTTGTTAATTTTGTTTATTGTTTGTTTTTTTTGTTTATTTGTTTGTTTATTTGTTTATTTGTTTGTTTTGTTTATTTGTCTTGTTTGTTTTGTTTATTTTGTTTATTCGTTTGTTTAATTGTTTAATTTGTTCAGTTCGTTCTTCCTTTGTCTGTTTCTTTTGTCTGTTCATTTCTTTTATTTATTTATTTCTTTTATTCATTTTTTTAATTTATTTCTTCTTTTATTTATTTCTTTCTTTTGCTCAAATCTTTTTTCCCAAAGACGTGTTTTTATTTTTATTTATTCTTATACATCTTTATGTACTTTTACTTCCAGACATAAACAGAAATATAACAGTAGAAAATAATTTATTTATTTATTTATTTATTTATATTTAATAATCTAGATAATAAACAAGCTTTAATTCTTATGAAGTACTACTGAGGGCAGATGTACGTACAGCCGAGAAGCGGAAAAGTCGAACGCGGAGGAGGAGAAAGGAAAAGAAAATAAAAAGATGAATTTAAAAAGATAAATAAAAAAATAAATATGAAAGGATAAATTGAAATAACTATTTATATTATATAATGATAAGAAATGAATAAATAATAATTAGAAAATAAAATAAATATCACTTTGGCCTACTTGAACACTTCGGGGCAAATTGCTCTCCGCCAGAAACTGAAGAATGAGGCGGATGACACTGCAGAAGAAAAACAAAAAAGCAAAGATTGGAATTAAAATTCGAAATAAAATAAATTAAATCCAAAATTAAACAACAAATTAAATCAAAAATCAAATCAAAATAATAATTCAAAAGTAACAATCGAAAGTAATTGTAAAAACTGAAAACTGCCACACGCTTTAAGAAGTGCGCAGCTGCAGCGGCAGCAGAAAGCATTTTGAAAAAGCAGAAGCAGCTCAAAAAATAAACATAAAAGAGACAAATGCAAACAAAAAACAAATAAATAAAATGCAAATAAGAAGAACTGTCGGTGCTTTTAGAGGTTCCGCGAAAAATGCGAATTTTGAAGTGTATGTACACCCGAGCTGCCTATACACCCGAACGCCCGCTGCTTACTCGGCCGATTCAATTTCCACATTCTGCGCCATTTTGCGAAAAGAGCACTTCTTTTGATTGAACTTGATCACTTATTCATTCGTTTATCTTTTTGTCTTCTGAATCTTCAAAATTCCCCCTTTTCCCCCTTGTTTTGCGCCGCCAGCTGTATGTACAGCTCAAGTATTCAACCAGCAAGAATCCTGCAGATCGGAGCCCGCAGATGTTCCAATTTGAAAGGAGTTTTGTTTATTTGGTTTTATTTGAAGTCTTGAGACGAAACTCCAGCTTTTAAGAAACCAAAAAGTGAATCCGGTTGTCCAGTTTGAGGATGGTTTTGCCGGCAGAGAAGAGCTGTCTGTACACCCCAGCGGCGGCAGCAGGCGCGCGGGAAGAGCCGAATGGAATGAAGGAAGAAGTAGATGGAGTGTATAGACAGCTCAAAATAGATAAAATAATAAATTTGGAAAAAAGAAAGGAAATAAAGAGAAAAGAAACTGTAGGAGAGCGAAACAGAGCTCACGGGGGAGCCGCGGCAGCAGGGGCCCCACCCGCTCAATCTCCGTCAATTTTCTTTCTATTTTCTTTTTTTTACTATTAATTTTCTAAATTTAACAAATAAATTAATTCTAATTCAGAAAAAACCAAAAAGTGGCGGCCAGAGAGCACCGCCAGCGGCCAGCCAAAGCGCATGCACGGGGCCCCCTGAACACCAGGGGGCCCTCAGACCCCTCTGCGGGTTTCTTTTGCTTTCTTATTTCTTCTTTTTAATTATTTTTAGTTAATTTTGATTGTTTTTGATAATTTAAATAACTAAAATGATTAAAGTAATCCGAAAGACCCTCTTGGAGCACAGCTGTACAGAAGGCCAGGAAGCAGTAGCGATCTGCAGCACAAGACGCAGCCTGCTGGTAAAGTTGAATTCAAAAAATGAATAAAAGCGAATTTATTTTTATTCATTTTATTTTTATTTATTTATTTATTTATTTTTATTTAAATTTAAAAGTTATTTGTTCCTCTATTACAAGGTTCAGAGAGAAAGATATTCTGCATGCAACAAAAAGCAAATTTGAATTCAAAATTTGAATTCAAGAAGACCGCCTTGTGGTGCTGCTGAGGTGTAGGTACACCTCAGCGGCCTCAGGGGAAAGCGCGAAAGAGGAAATAAAAAGAAAAATAAAAAAGTGGAAGTGGAAAACTCTAAAATAGAATTAAAAACCAAATAAGAACAAAAAAAGAAAAAAGAAATATATTTAAACTGATTCAAAGTGCAAACAATAACAGGATGTTAAGGCTTATGTGCACTTCATTTATTCAGGCGCAAACCCTAAACCTTTCCTGAACCCTAAACCCTAAACCCTTACTACTCTCTAAACCCTAAAGCCTAAATCCTTCCTGAACCCTAAACCCTACACGCTAGCTCAGGCCTGAACCCCAAACCATAAACCCTTATTAAGCCCTAAACCCTAAACCCTAGCTGACCGCTAAACCCTAAACCCTAAATCCTGAAAGATTGCGCGCTTTGAGCGTAAAAAGACTGTAGACAAAACATTTATGCAAGTCCATTTCTTCCATTTTTATTTTATTTTATTTCATTTATTTTATCATTTAATTTTTAAGTTTTTTCATTTTATTTGGAACTTGAGCTGTACATACACTCGAATTGGCTTCTGTTGCATAATCCTTTTCCTTATTTCCTTATTTTTATTTTTTTTAATTTTCTTTTTAATTTTTCTGCTGTAGTTTGCTGCTCTCCCTCTTTGCCTCTTCTTGCTGCTGCTTTTCTGGAGTTGAAATAAAGAAAAGAAATAAAACAAAAAATAAAAATTTAATTTAATTTAATTTAAAAGTCTTAAGGGGCTGCTCAGGCGACTTAACGAAAAAGGCAGAGCAGCAAATGCTTCAACTGTAGTACACAGCAAATTGCAGCAGCAGCAGCAGCAGCAGCAGCAGCACAATTTGCAGCAGGAGAGGGCCCCTTCAAAAGACAGGAGCAGCAGCAGCAGCAGCAGTTGAAGCAGCAGAAGCAGCAGCAGCAGGACTGTCAGCAGGAGAGGCCCCTTACGAACAGCAGCAGCAGCTACACGAGCAGCACTTGGAGTTGCAGCACTGGATCAATTAAAGCAAAATCTGCTCACGAGCAGCAGCAGCAGCAGCAGGAACAGCTGCCGCTGCTGCCGCTGCTGCTGCCGTTGCTGCTGCTGTTGCTGCAGCAACACAGCTGGCAATGGCAGCTGCTGCCGTTGCTGCTGCTGTTGCTGCAGCAACACAGCTGGCAATGGCAGCTGCTGCCGTTGCTGCTGCTTAGTTGCTCATTCCAAACCCTAAATCCCAAACCCTAAACCCTAAACCCTAAACCCTTAAGCCTTCGTTCGCTGAACGCCTTGGGCTTCGAGGTCGGTGCTGCTTGTTCCTCATGTTGTTTACCTTTGCTTTTTAATTAAATTAAATAAACTGAATTAAATTAATTAAATACATTTAATTAATTAATTTAAAAAATTAACTTTGCCGCCGTTCTGCACCGCTGTTCGCGGTGTCCATACACGGCGAGCAGCAGCCAGCGACCCACCGCCAGCCCCGGAGGCGGAGCGGCGAAATCCGAAAAAAAAAGAATAAAGGAAAACAAAATAAAAACAAAAATAGAAATAAATAAATATTTTATATTTTTTAATTTAAATTAATATGCAAATAAGCAGCTAGAACTGCTTCCAGCGAGGCTCCCCGCATCTGGCGCTGCCTTCCGTCGATTCCCGCTGCTGCTCAGCAGCGCCATTTAATGGATTTAATTCCATTTGTTTTATTTTATTTATTTATTTTCATAAATTATTTTAATTATTTTAATTATTTCATTCATTTCTCCCTTTTTTCCGGCGCTTGAGCCCTCCAAAGCCTCGAGTTCTTGCGGGCCCCCCGGGGGCCCCACAGAGGCACAGGGGCCTGCTGAGGTGTACGTACACCCCAAATAGTAACAACAAAGAAACAAATTCATCTAATATGGAGATTTTATTTGGACTTTAGGGCATCAGCAGCCGCTGCTGCTGCAGCAGCAAAGCCGCGGCAGAACAGCAAACAAGCAGCAGCAGCAGCACCAGAAGCAGCAGCAAAGCCAGCAGCGCCAACATTAGCAGCAGCGCCGACAGCAGCAGCAGCAGGAGCAGCGAGGTGTCTCTACAGTTGGCAGCAACCCCGCCCACTGGCGCCAAGGAAACACCTGAACACGCTTTAGGGTTTAGGGTTTAGGATTCAGGGTTTAGGGTTTAGGGTTTAGGGTTTGGAGATGGCTCCTTCTTGTGAGCTGATTCGCCCTAAAGAGGGGACTCTGCAAACTTCGGAAGAATTAAGAAAAACGAACTTTTCTTCTTTTGCTTCTTTTGCTGCTGCTGCTGCTGCTGCTGCTTCCAAAGCCGCTTCTGTGAGTTCTGCTGCTGCCTTTATTGAGGCTCTAGCTAAGCAGCTGCGCGCACAGAACCCTGCAGCAGCAGCAGCAACAGCAGCAGCAACAGCAACAGCAGCAGCAACATCAGCAGGAACAGAGGAAGCCGCTGAGTTCTACCGCTGCCGCCACCTCCACAGAAGCAGCAGCAGCAGCAGCAGCTCGTGCTGCTGCTGCTGCCTGCCGCAGAACGTTCAAGACGCAGCAGCAGCAGGCTCTGCTTCAGCAGCAGCAGCGCCTGAAGGAGGGGCCGCAGGCGCTGCAGCAGCAGCAAAAGCTGCAGTCATCGGGACCTGTTTGCTGCAGCAGCTGCTGCAGCAGCAGCGGAAGCAAAAAGGCGCAGTGGCCCCACAAGTTCTGCTGCTGCTCTCCTCGCTGCTGTCGCTGCTGCCGCAGCAACTGCGAGCAGCAGACTTGACCCCTGTAATTGACACGGCCTTGCGCGTGCTGCAGCAGCAGCAGCAGCAGCAGCAGCGGCAGCTGCAGCAAGAGCAGATAGAGGAGGAAGGTTCTGCTGCTGTTAAGAGGAGCAGCGAGTGCTGCTGCATCTCTTGCTGCTGCTGCAGTTTGCTGCTGCTGCAGCGGCTGCTTTCTGCTGCTGCTGCTTTCAAGGGAGACCCAAGCCTCCCCACAGCAGAAGCTGCTGTTCGCCTAGCAGCTGCTGCTGCTGAGCTGCTGCTGCTTGCTGAGCGCAGCGGCAGCAGCGCCGCTGTTTGCTGCTGCTGCACGACGAAACAAAAGAGCAGCAGCAGCAGCAGCAAGCGCAGCAGCAGCAGCAGCAGCAGCAGCAAGTGCAGCAGCAGCTGCTGCCGTTTTCTGCTGCTGCAGGGTCTTTGTGCTGCTGCTTTTCGCCTTTTGTCTTTAATCATAAAACGGCTTCCTGAGAATGCCCAGAAACACGTGGCAGAACAGCTGTGTGCAGCCAAGAAGCAGCAGCAGCAGCAGCAGCAGCAGCGGCAGCATCAGCAGCAGCAGCAAGAGGGGCCCAAACCGGCTCTGGAGCTTCTGTTCAGCGTTCTGGGACTGACGACGTTGCTGCGGAGGCGCCGCGCTCCCTCTAGAGCCAGCAGCAGCAGCAGCAAAAGCAGCAACAGCAGCAGCAGCAGCAGCAGCAAGGGGGAGTGTGAGGATTTGCTGCACGCTGAAGGAGCAGAATTGCTTCGGCAGATTGTGGGTCTGGCTGTGTTGTCTCCGCTTGCTGCTGATTTGCTGCTGCTGGGGCAGCAGCAGCAGCACAGAGAGGCGCTTGACACAGAAAGTGCTGCAGCAGAAGCCGCAGAACGCTCAATGCTGCAGCAGCAGCGGCAGCAGCAGCAGCAGCAGCAACAGCAGCGCGGCTTGCTATCAATGCTTCAGCCTGCCCAGAAGGGGGACTCAAGTGCTCATCGGTTGCTGTTTGCTGCTATAGCTGCCATAGTGCAGCAGCAGCAGCAGCAGCTGCAGCAGCAGCAGCAGAAGCAGCAGCAGCAGCATCGGGTGCTTGGGACAAGTGTGGGGCCCCTCTACTCTTTGCTGCCAGCCCTGGGGCTACTGCAGCAGCTGCCTGACGTAGTTGTGCTGCTGCTGAACGGCATCAGTGCTGCATGCGCAGACACAGCAGCAGCAGCAGCAGCATCACCAGCAGCAGCAGCAGCAGCAAAAGCACCTTCTGCAGAGGGCGAAGCCGCAGCGCATAATGTTGCTGCTCTCGACGGATTTTTGCTGCTGCTGTCGACACTGGAACCGATCTTGCAGCTGCCTCTTGCTGCGCTTCCTGAAGCTCAGCAGCAGCAGCAGCAGCAGCAGCAGCAGCAGGAAGCCCTTCTTTGCGTAGAAAGCATCCGCTGGGAGGCAGCTGTGGGGGCGTGGCATCAGTAAGCTACAGTCTGTGGCTGTTCAACTGCTGCTGCTCCTGCTGCTTTGGCGGTGTTGCTGCTGCTGCTGCTGCTGGACTCCGATTTCACTTGCTGCTGCTGCTGCTGCTGCTGCTGCTTGTGGGGTCTGCGTGCAGCCTGTGCAGCTCCTCGCTGCTGAGCCCTCGGCTTCTGGGACAGCGGCGGCACTTAAATTATTTATCTGCATTTTGCTGCCGCTGCTTGCGGGGAGTGCATGCGCTGCTGCAGCAGCTGCGGGCCCGCTTGGGGCTTGCTGCTGCTGCAGCAGCAGCAGCAGCAGATGAGGACGAGGACGTGCTCGGGTGTCTCTACTCCTCGCGGGCAGTGCTGCCGCCCCCTTTGCTGCTGCAGCTCTGCTGCTTGCTGCGCACTTTGTGGGGCGGTGCTGCGCTGCTTGTGCAGCTGCTGCCGCGGGACTTCGAGGGGCTGCTGCAGCAGGTGTTCGTGCTGCAGCAGCAGCAGCACGTGCTGCTGCATGCAGCAGCGGCATGCGACCCCACACAGAAGCTCAGGAACTGCCTTGCTGCTGCTTGCAGCCTTAAAGACACAGACGTCTTCTTCTGCTCCGGCAGGTACGGCAAAGCTGCTGCTGCTGCTGCTGCTGCTGCTGTGGCGCACCTACTGGTGTGGCAGCTGCAACTGCTGCTGCTGCTACCGCTACTATGGTAGCACAGATGCTGGTGCTTCTGCTGCTGCTGCTGCTGCTGCTGCCTTTGCTGCTTCGCCTTGGACTCTGTAGCTGCTGCTGCCCGTTGCAGTTGCTTTGTTTGCTGCCGCTTTTGCTGCTGCAGCACGGAGTTCCTGCGGCTGCTGGGGTGTACATACACCCGGATGAATGACGTGCCCGCGCTGCTGGCAGCAATTGAGAAGCATGTGGGGATAGCAGCAACAAGCAGCAGCAGCAGCAGCAGCGCCGGCAGCAGCAGCAACATGCTGCAGCAGATGCAGCGGAAGCTTGGGGCGCTTTCGGCCGTCTCTAGAGCTCGTGGTACTTTTTGCTTTTTATTTTTTTATTTATTTGAAAACATTTTTATTTTTATTTACTTTTGAAATTCTGCAGTTGCCCTCTCTGCCTCCAGTTGCTTGTTTTCTCTTTTGCTGCTGCTACTGCTGCTGCGGCTGCTGCGGCAGTTGCTTGTGCTGCTGCTGCTCCCGCGGCGATTGCTCTTCCAGCTGCTGCTGCTGCTGCTACTGCTGCTTATGTGGTTTTATGGCTTCTGCTGCTGTTGCTGCTGCTGCTGCTCTCAGGTGGCTGCTTGACCTTCGCCTTGCGCGAAGACTTTCTGGACACGGTGGCTGCTGCTGCTGGCTCGGCCCTTGCTTCGCAGCTGCCGCTGCTGCTGCAGCGGCTGCAGCAGCTGCTGCAGCACACCACAACGGCTTTGATGCACGGGCTTCAGCAGCAGCTGCAGCAGCTGCAGCAGCAGCAACAGCAGCAGCTTGGAAGGAGCTTCTCTACATTAGCTATCAATGCTGCTGCAGCACAGCTGGTGATGGGCGCCTTCTTGCGCGGAGTGCAGCAGCAACCGCAGCAGCAGCAGGAGCTGCTGCTGCCGCGGCTTCTCGAGGGAGTTTCAGCAGCAACAGCTCCAATCATTGATTTGCAGCCGCTGCTGCATCGGCTAGCGGCAGCAGAACAGCAGCAGCAGCAGCAGCAGCTGTTGCAGCTGCTCCTTCGAGGCCGTGATGCGCTGCGCCTTTCTGTGTGTCTGCTGCTGCGCCATGTTCGCTCATTTGCTGCTCCCTATTTTGCTGCAGAGGCGCCGCAAGCTGCTGCGGCTGCTGCTGCTGCGCTGCCGGCAGCTTCGAGTGCTGCTGCTCTTTCGGAAGCAGTCCTTGCCGTGTCCCAGGCGACGCGGGCTATCCAGCAGCAGGAGCAGCAGCACAAGCAGCAGCAGCAGCAGCAGCAGCTTCCTGTCAGCGGCAGACTTGCAGATGCAGACGCGGAGCAGCAGCAAAGGCTCTTTGAAATGCACCAGCAGCAGCAGCTGCTGCAGCTGCAGCAGAGCCGAGCCTTGCAGCGGTTGGAACAGCTGTTGCTGCTGGACGTGCTGCAGGATTCTGCGGCACGGCAGCAGCAGCAGCAGCAGGGGGATGATTACAGAGTGGAGACAGCGTCTGCTGCCAGTAAAGCAGCAGTGCTGCTGCTGCTGCTGCAGCACGAGGTGGGTCTGCAGCAGATGAAGAAGGCAACAGCCCGCTTGCTGCTGCGATCTCTGCACCAGTGCTGCCGCTGCAGCAGGAAAACAGACCTGCATCCAGCAGCAGGCAAACCAGCAGCAGCAGCAGCAGCAGATGCGCGGTGGCTGCAGCCACACTTCCCGCTGCTCTTCCGCCTCATGGCTCACGTCGCAGCAGCAGCAAAAGAGTCTAGCTGCTGCTGCGAAGTCTGTGGGGAGCCAATGAGCTGCTGCATTCTTACAGGGGCTGCCAATTACTGCATGCAGGACCCCCTGCCAGCAGCAGCAGCAGCAGCCGCAGCAGCAGTTGGCAGCGCTGGAGCAGCAGGAACGGCAGCTGCTGCTGCAGCTGCTGCGCAGCACGTTGTGGGGCAGTGGGCGCTGCCACCTGAGCTGCTGGAGGAGAGGCACGCAGCCCCGCTGCTGCTGCGCCGTTGTTCCGATTTGCTGCAGTCAGCTGCTGCTGCTGCTGCTACTGCTGCTAACTGCCCAGAAGCAGCAGCCCCAGCAGCAGCAGAAGACGCTTCAAGCCCCCGCCAGAAGAAGCGACGGCGCTGCATAGAGGACGAGGCACCAACAACATCAGCAGCAACAGCAGCAGCAGCTGCTGCTGCTGCGCTGCAGGAAATCAGCCGCGGGCTTCTGCGGTCTGTACCCGCAGAAGTTTGTGCATGCAGCGGGCCGGAGGCGACGCAGCAGCTTGCTTCTGCTTTATGGGCGGCGCTGCATTCCGTGACGCGCTTGCTGCAGCAGCAGCAGCAGCAGCAGCAAGTGGTGAGGGTGCAGCACGCCTTCGTTCTCGATGCTGCTGCTTCTCTCATTAAGGCACTGAGGCGTGTCTGCTGCTGCGGTGCTGCTGCAGCAGCAGGCATGTGGGCAGCTGCATGCATTCCAAAGGGCTGGGGGCTGCAGCAGGTGCTGGAGCCGCTGGCTGTTGCTGCAGCAGCAGCAGAAGGAAGCAGCAGCAACAGCAGCAGCAGCGAGGGGAGCCCAGTGAATAATTTAGTAGCAGCAGCAGAAGCAACAGCTGATATACTGTGGGCTGCCGCCGGAAATGATGCAGCAGAGGGAGGTATGGGCGCTGCTGCTGCAGTTGCTGCTGCTGCTGACTTGCTGCTGCAGCTTCCTGCGTCAGAAGCCTCGGAGCAACAGCAGCAAAAGCTGCTGCTCAAGAAGCTGCAGAAGGCTCTTCGGCAGCCTGATGCAGCAGTGCTGGCTACACGCTGCGCTGCAGCAGCAGAAGAGCTTGCTGCTGCTGTTGCGCTTGCCATCAGTAGCAACGGGGGCAAAGCACTGCAGGATCAGCAGCAGCAGCAGCAGCAGCAGTTGCTGCTGCTGCTGACAATTTTCAAGACGCTTTATGCGTCAGCAATTTCTTGGGTTCGGCCCATCGTGCTACAGAGCAAGCAGCAGAACGCAGAGCAGCAGCAGCCTCAGCAGCAGCAGCAACAGCAGCAGCAAGACGTGCTGCAGGAACTCGCAGAATTGCTGCCCCCCAACTCTTCGCGATCGCAGCTAGTGATTATTGCTGCTGCTGCTGCTGCTGCTCTTGACGAGCGCCTAACGGCGGCCTCTGTCCTCGGTGCAGCAGCAGCAGCAACAGCAACGGCAACGCCAACAGCAGCAGCAGCAGCAGCAGCAGATGCTGCAGCTGATTCGAACTGTTCGTGGCCGCACTTAGCTGCTTGTACTGTGGAGATGCTGGTTCAGCAGCAGTCCCTGGGGGCCTGGCTGCTCGAGCGCAGAGCAGCAGCAGCAGCAACAGCAGCAGCAGCAGCAGCACACGACTCTGAGGAGGCTGAGCAGCAGAAGCAACAAGAACGGCAGCAGCAGCAAAATCTGCGGCAGCATCGTGCTGCAATATCTGCCGCCGTTGTGTACCGTTGCAGTGTACGTACACCTCGGCCCTTGCTGCTGCTGCAGCCCTCAGCATTTGCTGTCAAGCCAAAGAAGCTGCTGCTGCTGCTAAACAGTCTGCTGCGCCTTGCGCCTCTAGAGCAGCGGAGGCCGCAGCCAGTTGCTGCTGCTGCTGCTACTGCTGCTGCTGCTGCTGACTTTGCTGCTGCTCCCGCGGGGACTGCGGGGAGACTGAGGCTCCGCAAAAGCTGCATGCGTCTTTTGCTGCTGCTGTGCTCTCACTGGAGCGGCGCCATGAAGCACTTGGCCTCCTCAGAGCGGCAGCAGCAGCAGCAGCAGCAGCAGCAGCAGGGGGAGGAGCAACAGGAGCAGCAGGAGCAGCAGCAAAAGCAGCACTGCGGCGATCTCAGCGTGTGCAGGTCCCTGGTGTCAAAGCTGACAGATCTGCTGCTGCAGATCACGAAAGAAGAATTGAGGCAGCACGTTGTTGCTGCAGTTGCTGCTGCATCTCGTGCTGCTGCTGCGGCTGCTGCTGCAGCTCCGAGCAGCCCGCAGCAGCAGCTCCAGCCAGACACAGGCCCCGCATCTGCTGCAGGTCTATGGCCGCAATCGCTGCAGCAGCTGCTGACTGTTGTGCTGCAGCAGGAGCAGCAGAAAGGCAGCTACGAGTTCTGCTGCCCTCAGCTGCCAGCTGACGCGTAAGTGTGCTTCCCCTGCCACTGACGGTGTCTGCTGCTGCTGCTGTTGCTGCTGCTGCTGCTGTTGTTGCTGCTGCTGCTGCTGCTACTGCTGCTGCCAGTCCCACTGCTGCCAACCAGAGCAGGCTAGTAAACAATAAAGGTATTTGCTGTTGTTGCTGCTGCTACTGCTGCTGTTGTTGCTGCTGCTACTGCTGCTACTGCTGTTGCTGCTGCTGCTGCCGGCCCCACTGATGCCGGCGAATGCAGGTTTCTAAACGATAGAAGTATTTGCTGCTGCTGTTGCTGCTGCTGCAGCTGCTGGGGCGCGCTGGTGGTTGGCTTGCCGGCCTCTTTGGTGACAGCAGCATTTTCCCAGCTGGCAGCAACGCTGGTCGTCGCCCTAGAGTCTTTAAGCCAGCAGCAGCAGCAGCAGCAGCAGCAGGCAGAGGACTCAGCTCTCATTGCTGCTGCCTGCGCACAGGCCATGTGGGGTCTTGTGCTGCAGCGCACAGAACTGACGCGCTGCCTGCGCAGAGAAAATGCCAGCAGCGGTTTGCTGCAGCAGACCCTGCTGGCTGCTGCTCAGCTGCTGCTGCAGCTGCTGCTCGCAGCGCAGACAGCAGCAGCACGCCCGCCTTCGACCCTCTCGCGCCTCTCCCCGAGGCAGCAGCAGCAGCAGCAGCAGCGGATGTCGTGTCTGCTGGGCTGGTGCTGCTCGCGCAGCGCGCAATTTTTAGTTGAGACATTTCGCTGCTGCTGCCTTCTGGCTGGCAGCAAACGCAGCACAGAAAAAGGCCAAGAGGGCCCCGGGGGGGCCCTCGGGGGGCCCCAAAGGCAGCAGCAGCAGCAGCAGCAGCAGCAGGAGTTCGTGGCTGATGTCATGATGGAGTTTGCGAGAGGAGCCATCGACTTCGCGGACAGAGAAGAATCTCCAGACACTCCCCACTGCATGCAGCAGCACCAGCAGCAGCACCAAGTGCAGCACCAGCAGCAGCAGCAGCAGCAGCAGTACCAGAGCCCGCTGTCCCAGATTGCTGCCCGAGCTGGGCTTAGGGCCTGCAGTGTTGTTCTTGTGTCTCTGTGGCGGTCCCACGACTTTGCTCCGCTGCAGCGTCAGCAGCAAACGCTGCTGCTGCTGCTGCTGCGGCTGCTGCAGCTTCTCCAAAGGCTGCAGCACAGTCGGTAAGCCACGCGTGGCTGCATGCACTCGACAGTCCTCCCCCCTGGCGCCCTCTGGCGCACCAGTTGCTGCTGCTGCTGCAGCTGCTGCTGCTGCTGCTGCTGTTGCCGTGTTTGCTGCTCAGGGTGCTAGAAGATGCCTTGGAGGCTCTGGGCCGCGTGGGGGCTTCGGTCGCCTGCCGCAGCAGCAGCAGCAAACGCATGCTGCTGTTCCTAGCTGCTGAAGTTGTGAACACGAGGCAGCAGCTGCTGCAAAGCCCAGCGAGAACAGCGACAGCAGCAGCAGCAGCAGGCGAAGCTCGCTCTGCACCAGGTAATAAAGTTGCCAGCGGGCCCATCGGGCATATGCACAGCAGCAGACACAACTTTGCTGCTGCTTTCTCTTTCCTATAGCGTTTAATTGCTGCTGCTGCATGCACTTGCTTTTTCTGCTGCTGCTGCTTGCGTTTGTTTTGCATTTCCTGCTGCTGCTGCTGGCGGCGCTGCTTCTGGCGCTGCTGCTGCTAGCGTGGCTGCTGCAGCTGCTGCTGCTCCTGCTGCTAGCTGCTGCTTGTGCTGCTCCTGCTTGTGCTGCTGCGCAGGCCAGAAGCAGCGGCAGCAGCTGCTGAGTTCGCGTTTGCTGCTGCTTTCTTTCGAGCTGCTGGCTGGTGCTGCTGCAGCAGAAGACGGCGGCCAAGCTGTAGCTGAGGTGTCTTGCCACCTCAAAGAGGGGCCTCGTGCTGCTCTTCTGAGTGTCTTCGACGAATTCCGCGAACACCACCTCTACAAAGGCAGGGCATAAGCAGCAGCAGCAGCAGCAGCTGCTGCTGCTGCTGCAGCAGCGGCCCCAGCAGCAGGTGCAGCTGCAACAGTTGCAGCAACTGCAGCAGCAGCGGGTGGAGCAGCAGCTGCAGCAGTAGCGGCTGCAGCAGCAACGCAGCACAGGCTGCAGCAGCAGCAGCAGTAGCGGCTGCAGCAACAACGCAGGACAAGCTGCAGCAGCAGCATCAGTAGCAGCAGTAGCGGCTGCAACAGCAGCTGCTGCTGCTGCAGCAGCTGCTGTGGCAGAAGACCTAGATGCTCGGAGCCAAAGCTTCAGCTTTGCATGCGCATGCGCATGCATGCATTTCTAAAATGATTTTTTGAATATGCTTTTTGGGGCGTTTTTGCGAAAGTGCCGTTTGGGGTGACTGGCGGTACTTCAGGATTTCACACGGCTCTCTGCTGTTGCTGCTGCCGTTGCTGCTGCTGCTGTTGCTGCTGTTGCTGCTGCTGCTGTTGCTGCTGCTGCTGTTGCTGCTGCAGCGTCTGCGTGCAGCAGGACACAAGTTGCATGCAGCTGCTCACTTTTCTTTAGCTTTTTGCTCCCCCCTCAGGCTGCAGCTGGCTGCTGCTGCTCTCCCGTTGCTGATGGCTAGCCAGCTAGCTTGCCAGCTAGCTAGCTAGCTGGCTAGCTAGCCAGCTAGCGAACTAGCTATCTGGCTAGCAGGTGAGGTAACCAACTAGCAAGCTACCAAGCCGTGTAGCTAGCCAGCCAGGTAGCTAGTCAACTAGCCAACTAGCCAGCTAGCTAGATAGCTAGCTACGTAGCCAGCTAGCTAAATAGTCAACTAGCTAGCTAGCTGGCTAGCTAAATAGCCAACTAGCTAAGCAGCTACTAGTGGGCCACACTGCTGGGTGACCATGTGGGACGAGGCTGCACCAGCTGCACCAGCTGCACCAGCTGCAGCAGCTGCAGCAGCTAAATTCAGTTAAGTGGCATTTTTTGCTGAAGGCTGCATGCAGTTTGTGTCAGTTGCTGCTTCTTTAGTTTGGAATTCTTTTTAAAAAGATCTGCTCTCATATTTGCACACCACTTATTTTCCGGAAGAGGACTAGCTGTTGCTCATTAGCCAGCTGCTGCCACTGCTCATTAGCCAGCTGCTGCTGGTCAGCCAGCTGCTGCTGCTCAGCAGTCAGCTGCTGCTGCTGCAGCTGCTGCAGAGGTTGCTGGAGAGCGGGGGGCCGCAGCGCTGAGGTGTACGGACAGCCTGGAGAGGCCTTGCTGTTGACGGAGTGCTCCTTTGTGTTTTTCGGAAGGCCACGAGTGCTGCAGCTCCTGGTAAATGCGGCCATATTTGCTGCTAAATGGAAAGATGAAAGGGCTGGAAATAATTAAAATAAATTGACAATGAGAAAAGAATATAAAAAATAGTAAAGGAGGTGCCGAATGGACGGATTTGTGTTGGAAGACCTGTAAGTACACTCACGAACGGCCGTTGGTTCAAAGGGCAGCAGCTGTGGCTGCTGCCCTTTGAACCAACGGCAGGATTTGGGGGAAATGCCTATATAAAAGCACTCAAGAGAGATAATTTCCCAAACTATTTATGTTTATTAGTTTTTTCTCGTTAGTTTTCCATTTATAGAGCCCGCTTCACGGCAAACCAATCGACGATAATGTGGGGGGCCCCCCTAGGGGAGGGGCCCCGCTACGGGGCCCCCAGTGAGAACCCGTAAGCCCCTGTGGGACATCGATTTGGTTTACAAAGTTTCCCAGCGGAAACAACTATTTATTTTCAAACTTTATTATTTGTTTGTATTAAAAGTGTTATTTAAGGTGAAGGCAGATCTTGAGTCACACGTGTTCAGCGGTCACACCTGCCGATACACCCGAATCCGATTGAGGTGTATACGCACCTCCGTTGTGCAACTTGTATTTTATTTCAACTTTTCGTCCAGTTTTCCCCGATATCACTAGTATTCAGTTCATTATTGAAGCTCACTGTCCCATTTATATCATTTTTTGAAGCCTCAAATGCAGATCTTTGCTGACTGCTGCCGAGTTTTTCTTTTCTTTTCAACTTCGACTTTCCGGAAGCGATGGCTCAAATGACGTCCAAAGATGCGCCTGCGGACGTCTTTAGCCATTTTTTCAAGAGCTTCATTTGTTTCAAACTCTCCCTCCGTTGCATTTCCTTTTTTCTCTGTCTTTCCCCCCTCAAAGAGGCTTAAGCGGGCGGTCTTTCGCCTCGCTCTTCACCAGCTGGCTCAGAGCCGGGAAGCGTGCACAGCAAGCAGCGCCGCTGGCTGTTTCCCGCTGGTGCGCAGACACCACCGACAGCAAAAGTTTGCTGGTTCTGAGCTGCAGCAGCGCTGCAGCTCAGCAGCAGCAAGCGTTTGCTTTGATTCTGCTGCAGCAGACACAAAAGCGGCGCTGCTGAAGCTCATAGAAAAGAGTCAACATGAGGAGACAGCTGAGAAGTGGAAGCCCTGGAATGCAAGCATCCGTGCTGCACTTGCTGCTGTGATTTCGGCCAACACTGCAGCAGCAGCAGCAGCAACGGCGGCAGCAGCAGCGGACGCAACTAGCGTGCCTTCGCGCCACCCGGCAGCAAAGCTGAACGGGCAAACTTGTGAAAAGCAGCAGCAGCAGCAGCAGCCAATTCAACTTCTTGAGCAGCTTGTTGCAGCAGCTTGGGGACTCAGCTCAGCTCGAGTGCCATTTCTGCTGCTGGACAGGCAGCAGTGGCGCTTACGCGCAGCGCATCTGCAGCAGCAGCAGCAGCAGCAGGGATCGCCTATTCTGCTTCCCCTTGTGGTTTCTCCGGAGACATTTGTTTCTGCTCTGCAGTCCACAACGTTGTCTGCTGCTGCTGCTGCTGCTGCTGCCCCTGCTTCTTTTGTTTCACTGCTGCTGCTGAGCTGTCGAGACACCCCGGATACCCCACAGGTGCTGCTGCGGCTGCAGACGGGAACGCCGCGCCAGCTGCTGTTCTTTGTGCAGCGGCTGCAGCAGCAGCAGCAGCAGCAGCAAGGAGATAGCAGCAAAGAAAACGAAGCGCGCATTGCGGTGGCCCTGCTGCACTCAATCGCTGCCGCTGACCTTGCTGCTGCGTCTGCTGGTGCTGCTGCTGCAGCAACTGCTGCTGGTGCTGCTGCTTCTGCTGCAGCAGAGGGAAGCACTGCATCTACAGATACGGCAGAATGCAATGATTTGAGAGATTTGCTGCTGCTGCTGCTGCAGCACTCTGTGGGGCGGCTTGTCGATGCAGCGCAGCAGCTGCCCCCCGAGCTGCTGCTGCATGCAATTGGGGCTTCGATACACCTGAGCAGCAGAAGGCCCCGCATGCTGCTGCAGCATTTTAGTGTGGAGCCGCTGCTGCTGCAGCTGCTGCAGGCAGCAAGCCCAGTGCTGCTGCAGCACCAACGCAACCTAGACGAGCTCTTCGCAGACGACACCAATGACAACAGCACCAGCAGCAGCAGCAGCAGCAGCAGCAGCAGCATGGAGGGCGTAAGGGCCGCAAGGACTGCGGAGTTTCCCTTGAGAGCTGCTGCATTTGTGCTGCCGCTGCTGGGCTGGCTGCAGCGCAGGGGCTCTGCTGCTTTGCATAACTATATTTCTGAAGTTCTTGCTGCTGTTGCAGATTGCGTTGGTGAGGCAGTCCTGGTGCTGAGGTGTACGTACACCCCAGCTGAGCTGCCGCCGCGCTGCTGCTCTCCTTTTGCGCGCTTTCTTGCCACTTCATTTTTAAGTTGTTTATTCTCTTCACTATTTTGTTTTATTTTTATTATTTTGAGTCTATCTTTTTGTTTTTTTCTTTTTTTAGGAGAAAGAATTCAAGAATTAGATGCAGTGGAAGCAGCAAACTTGATTTTTGCTGCTGCTGCTGCTCAGCAGCCTCTTGCGGGTAGGGTTTAAAATTGATTAAAATTGATTTTTGAATTCAAAATAAATATGTTTCTTTTTCTCTTTTTTTGAACATTAAATGGGTGCTTAGGGGGCCGTTTGTTGGCTTTCTTTCCATGTAATTTCTTTTTTATTTTATTCTTTTTCTTTTTCTTCAAAGCTCCTTTTCCCTTTTTCGGTCTTGTGCTGATTTCTGCAAAACTGGCGAGTGAAGTTGCATGCGGGAAGTTTTGAGCAATCTGTTCCTTCATTTCCTCATTTGTTTATTTCTCTTTATATATATACAAATACAAATTCAAATATAAGTATATTTATTTTATTATTATTTTTAAATGTAAATAACTTATTTATCTTTGCTTTGCTGCGCAAGCCTGGCAAGAATATCTGCTGTTCATGGCTGCCCGGCACATCCTGCGGGTGCCGCTGGAGGCGGAGCTGGGGGCTCGCGTTCTGTGTGCGCTTTCTGACGTTGGTTTGGAGGTAATTAATTTAAATTTAGTTTTTAAAATTCATTTTAATTCAATTTAATGAATTAAACAACTCAAGAGCTACAAATTGAGCTATTGTTGCACTATTTCGCTGCACAATCAGTGCTCAGGAGCAGCTGAAACCCACTTTATACGCGTTTTGCATTGCTGTAAATATGTACACTTGTTTAATTATTTATTTAATTATTTATTCATTAATTTATTTATTTATTTATTTGTTATATAATATCCCTGCGTTGCGAAACACGTCAAATGAAGCACACCTCAGCGAAAGACAAATTGAAAAGCAAAATCACAAAAAAAGGAAACAAAAAGAATAAATTAAAAACAAACTTTGCGGGATCTTTTGAGCCTTTAGGATCATTCGTTTTACTTTTCTCTTCTCGAGAAACTGAGACCTGAAATTAATAACTTGCCGCTTGATGTTCTTTGCGCTGTCCTCCGCGCCTGTGCAAAAGTGAGCCATTCAGAGCCTCTTATTATTATCATTATTATTATTATTCATTAATAATAATAATAATAATAATAATAATAATCATAATCATAATGATAGTAGTAATAATAACAATGGCAACAACAACAACAATAATAATAATAATAATAGTAATAATAATTTCGCGCATTTACAAGCTTTGCGTACAAAGGAGGAGTTCAGAAAACCATGAGCGAGCCAAATGAATGAAATGGAAAATCTGAACTTTGCAGTGCGGCATTTCGCGTTCAAACGCAGCTCCATTGTTTTGACAAGTATATAATCTGATTTAATATTTAAATTAACTAAATTTCCTTTTTATTTATTTATTTGATGCCGATTTACAGGTTAGGATCCGAGATATTCAGTTTCTTTCCGGGGCTCTCCACCGCCTGGAAAGCTCAAGGCAGAGCCTGCGGCCAACTTTGGCGGCTCAGGCGCTGGAAGCTGCAGGTGCAGCTTTAGCCACAAATATGCAATTAAGGACTTTAAAATAAGTAATTATGAGTTCACACTGTGAAGAGCAATAAAAAGCAATAAGTTTTCCATCGAAAGACGCCAATTCGGTGTGCAAATAGATGCATGCGCGTGGCCACGAAGGTATTGCAACAAACAGTCGAAGAGTAGAAAGCAGCAGATAAAAGAAATGCAATTGCTGACTTGTGGCTGCTGCAGGCGATCTGGACATGAAGGGAGAGGCCTACGAGGGCCTGTGGCGTTGCTGCTGCAGCGCGCTGCAGCAGCAGCAGCTGCTGCACGCCTCCTTGCTGCCCGCTGCGCTGCTGCTGCTGCAGAGTCCTGCGTTCATTCAACGCCTGCTTTCGGCGTGGACTAGGGCCTTTGTCTCTAAAAGTGGAAAGATAAACAAATATGTTAAATCGCACATCATCAAGTACGAGCAACAGCTGCTACAATGGCTCGGATTCCCTCCCGAAAGAATTAAAAAGCTGAAATTTAAATTCGAAAGTTCTGAAGCAAATTAGTTCGCCCAAAGGGAGGAGGTGCTGGCTGTTTGTCTTTGTTTTGTGTATGGGGAGTCTCGGAGCTACCAAAATTAAACTTGAAATGGTTCTTTTTAAGTCTGTCACATTGGCCACTGTAGGTGCTGGCAGTTGCACTGGACTTGGAGTGAAAATGCGGAAAAATGAATAAAAAGAAAGAAACAAATGAAACAACACGCGAGCAGCAAATACAAATAAACATTTTTCGTGAAGTTGTGCTGCAGGAAACATAGACTAATGCTCACTGCAGACCTCGCGGGTCTCGTGAGCCTCCCCTTGCGTCTTTGCCAAGCCATATATGAATGGGAAGACAATGTGAGCAATTAAGAAAGCAGAAGTGGTTCTAAGCTGTTGATTAAAGGAGTACTTGCTCAAGCATCTGATTAATCTTGCAAACGGTGAAAATGTCAGCTGTTCCGACTGCTTGAATTGCTGCAATTGCATTTATTTGCAGGCCGGAAACAAAGCAAAACCCTCCAGCCCCTCTAGCAGCAGTTTTCATTTGGAGGTGGCGGCGGCCTTGCCAGAACTTGAATTTCAGAAAGAAGCCCGCGCAGGCCCCTTCCTAGTTGACCTTTTGATAGAGATGAATGCGGAAAATGGACAGACAAAAGAAAATATGAATGAAATAAACAAAGAACAAGCATTTCACAACGAAATAAATCACAACAGAAGCGCCAGAAACGCCAATCAGGCGGCAGATGCTAGCAGACCCCCTGGTGTGCCTCAGAAAGATGCACCGAGTGCTTACGACGCAGAACACCCACTACACAATTTTGATTGTGAAGTAAAACGAAAAAAGTCCAGAAAAACAGAAACTGTGCCGCCGCTGCACCAAACGGGCCATGTTCCCAAGCAGCCGTGGGTCTCATCAAGGAGAGCAGAAAGGGAAATTCGCTTTTCTGTAGACTGAGACCTTCAAGTCTCTTAATTCATTCTCTTTTCTCTTGTTCTATTTCCCTCCGCACTCTAGACCTGCTGTGAATACGGGAGACGAGAAAGCTCCAGCGGTTCAAGTTGCATTCGCCAACTTGGCGAACAAAATATGAACAGAATAAATACAGAAAAACACAACGCCCAGACCCACTAAGGCTTGAAGGTGCTTCTATTTCCTAAACAGACGGTCACTCGCCGCCCTGCCAAAAGAACTAGAGGAACCCTTAAGGACTTCTTCGCAGTTCAAATTCTTAAGCTAGTACTGAAAACTTCGGCTACTGCTGCGGCAAGTTCGCTGGCATTTCAACGCCACATCCGCTTTTATCGATTAAACTTGTCATTTGTCCGCATTCACGGCTCCAACAAAGTATTAAAATACGAGACGTCACTAGATAAATGGCAAGGACCGTCCCGCTTTCTGCGCTGCAGTCGGCAGAAGCGAAGGCGCGCTTCCAATGAATTAAATGGGGGCGTCTGTGGCCTCACGGCTACGACTGCAGCCAAATAAACTCAACTAAGGTGTAAATTAATGGAAAGGTAGGCAAACAATCTGCACAGAATGTTCAGAGCTTGTCCTAAGCAGGAAAACTGGCGCCAGCGCAACAAAACCATATTGCTATTCTGCCTGTCTTTTTATCGCTGCTGTTTTGAGTTCATGCTTAGATTTATCTGATATTCTGTACTTTGCAAGTGCTTCCGTTTGCATTGGTTTGCTTCTCCCGCGATTCAGGCGGGACGCCAAACCTGTGCGAGCTAAAATGCGTGGGCTTTCACGAAGTGCACGATTCGTCTCGAGAGCTACTTTAATAAGGGCAAACTATCTTAAAGGGACGATAGCAATGCAGCAATTTAATCAATCCTTAAATTTCTTTCTATTTCCGATTACAAAAGAGGCAACTAGAGCTCTTTGCTGCTTCCCGTTGCTTCTTTTATGCTGATTTCTTGCAATGCGAAAGGTCGCGAGGCTTCTCCCATGCATATTTCTCAGGGCAGCGGCCGAAGTGGCCGTAAGCCGCCAACTCTTTGAAGAGCGGCTCCTGTAAAGACAAGGAACAAAAGGAAAACGACAAAGCTCTTGTGGAAAGTAGCTTACAAAGCAAAATAAAAGACAAATAACAGCACAGCAACATTGTTTCAAGCAGAACGAAGAAAACCCCAGCTTTCAAAATAGAAGCGAGGAAAGATGGGACCTTCTTGAACAGAAACAAGCTAAGAAAGAGATATTCACATTTACTATTCTCTCTACGTAAAGTAATGAGTTGAACTCGGTCAAATATTTCATAAAATGTTTGAAGCTCGGCGAGACTATTCACCTTCAGACGCAGATCGCGCTGGATAACTCCTGGTCTGAAGTCGAAGTTCTCAGCGACAATTCGCAAGAGGCAATCGTCCGTGTAGCCCTCGGCACAAGTGCCATAAGAGTCCACAAAAAGAGAAAGAGGGGCGGCAACGCCAATGGAGTACGAGACCTGAAACATGAACAGGAAGACAAGACGCAACAGTAAGAACTAGACACAGCAACAAGCATGAACAAAAAGCCAAACAATACGGACAGGACACAACAAATTCATGAACACTAAGTGACAGATACCACAGAACAGCGAGGCCAAGCTAATTGTTCGAAGCAAGTGGTCTAGCCGTCATTTGGCACTTTGAAGTTAAAATCGAGAACAGAGCAAAATGTTCAAAGCGACTCAATCATTCTCCATTTAGCGCCTCAAGCCAAATTGAAACAGCGAAGACAGCAAATGGTTAAAAGCAAGTGGAATCTCCTTAATTTGGCACTTCAAGACACTAAACAAAAGGAAACTGGCTCCACGCGCACCTGCACAAGGCACCGTTTGCAGAGCCCGTTGGCCACCAACGACTTCGCAGCCCAGCGCGCCGCATAAGCGGCACTCCTGTCAACTTTAGTGGAATCTTTTCCGCTGAAAGCGCCGCCGCCGTGGGCCCCCCAACCCCCATAAGTGTCTATGATGATCTTGCGGCCAGTGAGGCCCGCGTCGCCGTGGGGGCCCCCAATCACGAAGCGCCCAGAGGGATTCAAGTGGTAAATGGTGTTGTCGTCCAAATACTTTGCTGGCACAACGGGCTTTATCACGTGTTCCATTATATCCCGTCGCAACTGCTCATTCGCCACCTCCGGCGCGTGCTGAGTTGAAATCACTATCGTGTGCACTCGCACAGGCACCGGCACTCCCGAGGTGTTGTCGTATTCAACAGTCACCTGAACAAAAAGAGAGGAATACGCAAAACTAACCTTTTATAATGGAAATAAAACAAAATTTTGGAGAACTCGAAGCTTCTGCGCGTATAACTAGCTTATTATGGTTGAGATAGCGCACAAGTTCGGAAACTTCGGAGCTTCTGCACGCAGAACTAGCTAATTATGACCGAAATGAAACAAAACTTTCGAAAATCTGAAGCTCATTGAAATACAGCACTGGCCACTGGACAGCAAGGCGAAGCAGCCGTGGGCATTTACAAAGAGATGGGACTTAAGATCGAGATTAAGTGCTTTTGAAAGATTCAATTACCTGTGTCTTCCCGTCTGGACGGATGTAAGGCAAGACTCCCGACTTGCGGACATCAGTGAGGCGTTTGCCCAAATTTGTTGCAAGAGAATGACTGAGAGGCATTAGCTCTGGAGTTTCATCACAAGCATAGCCGAACATGTGGCCCTGCAGAACAAAAAGCCAGAAATAAGAGAATCATATGCAAATCTGGCTGCATTGCTCCAATTATCTACACGCCACGCAGCAGTATTAATGCATTTGCACAATATAAAGCACAATAAGCTTCACCAATTGCTGAAATATTCATTATTTTGTTCTGTAATGTGCAGCAGCCCACTTGGTCCCCTGCTCCAATTTCCTCTATGTTTTTGTTCACATATACAGCCTGCGCGATCTCTGGGCTTTGGTCTTCAATTGCAACCACAACTTTCATTGTTTTGTAGTCCAGCCCTTTGGATTCATCATCGTATCCGATGTCCTGCAGCAGCAGCACAAAAGCGGCCACCAGTTGCAGCTAAAAGCGCTGCTTGCTGTTCTTGAATAGTGGGCTGTTCTTGAACCACTGATGCAGCAGAGGCTAGCTAGCGCCGCCCCTGAGACTCTCTTGAGCTGCATTTAATATGAATGAGGGCAGAGTCTTCAGCGTGCACTTACCCTACAGGTTTCCCTGATGATCTTCTCGTAGTCGACATTCGCATTGGTGGTGATTTCGCCGAAGATCATCACCATGCCAGTCTTAGTGCATGTCTCGCATGCCACCTGAGGCGAGGCCGCATTAAAAACCAAATAAATGAGAACTAGAACACGAAGAAGCTCCGAATGGGGGAAAAGGCAGCTCGATCTGCTGCTGCTGAGGCAAGCTTCGTGACCACCCTGCGTGTGTGTCTGTGACCACTGGACACTTCGGGTTTGCCAGCACCGCATTTTTATGCATCTAAGAACTCACTTTGCTGTTTGGGTCCTCTGCAAGGCAAGCATCTAGAATTGCGTCTGAAACTTGATCGCACAGCTTGTCTGGGTGGCCTTCGTTGACACTCTCCGAGGTGAAGAGGAAACGGCCGGGTGTGGTGACGATGGCGGGGTGCGTCATTTTAAATGGATTTGAAAAATAAAGACAAAGTAGTAAATATGCAACAATAATCCACCAAAATTAATCAAGTCCTGAATGAAAGAATGGGCAGAAACACCAACAGGACAACCAGCTGACCGCCACACTCACCGCCAGCGAGCAGCGCAACGCACAGTGAGCCACCGAAACTGCTGCTGTCACGCCAGAACTCAGCGAGCGCTAGCGAAGTAAATTTCCACTTAAATTGATGCATTAGTAAAGATGTGTCGGCCAAATTTAATGTTTGAGGCCAGACAGTACAAATTGGAAGGTATTATTCCCCACGGCACTTGTCCCATACTTCCACTGTCGCCACTTCCACATCAGCCGCTCATTAGCCATCTAGCTGCACTGGAAGTCATGCCCTTTCACGCCTTAATCAGTTTCGATTACATTCGAAACATAAAAACAAGAAGCAATAGGACTTATTGCCGTTGCCGGCCCCAACCGTGCTGCGGGGTTTTCGCACGAGCAGCAGTTGTGTACAAGGCGCAGCACTGGAAACATCAAGCGGACGCCACAATGCAGAATACAGAAACTCGAAACCACAGACTTAACCAAAGAGAAATTCCTCGCAAATGGAAATTATTTCTGCACGGTGTTTTTACCTGAGCCGACTGCGAGCTGAGGGGGAAAGATTCCACGGAAAGCCAAGCAGCCACGTCAACAACTAGAGCAAGTTGAACTTCTGCATCAAGACAGCCTACAAACTGCAGAAGATAAACTCAACGGCTGTGTCGAAGGGTTCAAAGCTTAGCTTTTAAGGTTTCGGAGCGATTGCCCGCGTGGGGCTGACGGCGTGCGGGGCTTGGGGGTCAGTGTGGGTCGCGGGCATTCCTGTGTGCCGCCCTTTGAATAGACAATTATCTTCAGCCATTTTACTTGGTGTTTTCAGTTTGTTAGAGCAAAACTAGATCTGATTTTTTTAAGCGGAAACGGACGGGGGGACGGGAACGCAGGAACTTTCTTATCCCACCCCGCAGTTGCGCTGTTCCTTCGACGTGTCTACAGCGTGGCTTCGTTTCTCTGTGATGGTGTAATGAAGGAAAACCACTTAATTTCTCCTTTCTTTTTTTCAAATGCATCAGTAGTTGGGTGCGACGCTTGTCCGCCCCCTCTTCGGTTGGTAAATGGGAACTTTCACTCTTCGGAGCTTTCCCGAGGCTTCATGGGTCACCTAGTCCTTGCTAGCAACTAGCACGGAACGTCTGTAGCACTACAGGTTTTGGAGCTGCTGAGTTTGTACTGTGTTTGGCAAGTAGAAGATCTTGAAATGTAGAGCTGAGCACCACCAAAATGCCAACCAGCAACAGAAAAACACTGACTAAAAGGAGCCATCAAAAGCATCATCCCAGCAAGGACCCCCCAAATCTACACTAACAAGGAGAAGGTCCAGGCTACACCATTGGCTAAACTGTGGGGATTTGCAAGATTTGCCAAACAGCACCTTAAGCTCGCTTTAGAGCCACGTAGAGGCTCTTTCATTTCAAGTCTGGCTGTGCTGCCGTGCAGAGTCACCAGACCCCCAAAGGATCTTTTCAAAGTTTCTACCGGCCTCAGAAGCTGCCTGGCCAATCAAATGTGCATCATAGATAGAAATTTCACTCTTGCTGCAGATATTAGCTCTTGTATACTGAGTATTATTCGTACTTTCATGGCTTCTGAGCTGGTGGCAGATAAAGCCACATTCTGAAACGTTTGTAACACCGGGCTTGTGTTCAAAAGCCTTTGTAAGATCGTCATGAGTGAGGATGCCTCAGGTTGCATGCTGTGAATGTAGTTAGAAGCTGCATTCTGCAATGCACGCTCGGCAAGTGTAGCCGCGCAGAACATCACCCCTCACCTGTCAACTTACGCAACACCCTAGAAGCCTCCAGCGCTTCTTTTCTGTTTCAACAGTGGCTAAAACATCTCCAAGGCAACAAGTTAGCCACTACAACCCCAGCGTCTTAAGCTTGTGGCTTACACTCTTCCCACTTGCTTCTTTCTGGAGGAGCGCTAATACAACCCTCTTTGGTTTGTAACTTTATAAGGTGCAGTAATTGGCAGTGTCCACAAAAAGTGGATTTAAAAGCCCATTCTGCTGTCATGTTTCTTAGGGGGAACTGTTTGCTTTTAAGTTTCCCTTTGAGGTCTTGACCCCCAGAAGTGCATTTTCCGGAAAAATTAAACTGAAGAAGCGTAAGACACTTCCAGGATGCAAATCTGAATGCAAATGGAGATCTGAATCTAAATACAAATCTAAACTTGGCTTTTTGGCAAGCTAGCTTTCAGACAGGAGGGGCGCCTTTTCCTTGAAACCTTTCACTGCTAGGAGAATGCCAGCAACTGAGGGCAGCAGCGGACAAAATAGTGCTGCAGTTTAGCTTTTAAAACAAAAATAATTTACCATGCAGCATCATTTCTCCTTAAAAGTGTTGAGAAGTTCCTGACGGAGGCAATTTGCTTCCGAAACCACGCATTCACCGTGACAAAGTTCACGACTAGCGGGAAGTTTCAATAAAGAGAAAAGTGAAAAAGAACTCAAGAATGTCAGCTATTAAAGTCAGACAGTAGACGCGGAAAATAAATAAGAGAAGCCACGACCACACTACAGCAACTTCAATTGCACTCAAATCTTGAGCAGCAGAAGGTGCAGCAGCAGCAATTGCTTCCTGTGGGCACCCTAGGGCCCTCTGAGGAGTTAGCCTTGGCAAATACAACTGCCTTTTTCTCCAAAAAGCATTTCCTTGCCTTAAAACTATATTATGCTCTTCCCGAAGTCACCAGTGGCTGGACCTGTGCTGCGTAGCGCTACTAGCTACGAATTCCTCGAGACAGAAACAAAATAAAAACGAAAATTAACTGGTCTAAAGTCGAATTTTAGAGGGTGTCACTGAGAATATAACTAGCCCCCATAGACAGCAGTCCACATAAAGTGCGAATTAGTTCAGATTCAGAATTCTCGCAAGGAAAGAGAAACAGCTCAATGCATATCTTGCCGAAGACAAAATCCACTGAGGATTCATTCGACTCGCAAGCAGGACACCAACGCAGGGTTGGGGTCACTAGGGGGCACCTCCTCTTTCTTTATAACTCGAATTTTGTTTCACTTTCTTCCTCTTTTCTGTTCTCGTCTCTTATCTGATTCTTTTGTTTAATAAATCAAAGCTTTGAGTGCAGCAGCGGCTAGAAATAGTATCAGGACACCAAAGCTTTTAATCTAGCCACACAAATTGCTGCCAAAAGAGCTGCAGGTGAATCGGCAAAAGCCGCAGCACCTCACGGGAGAGGCTTTAAGAGGCCTCAACAGCACAGGATTTTTGAAAACTAATAAAAAAAGAGAAAGCTAAAAACGTGGCAAGTGCAGAAGGACGCGTTGAATTTAAGAAGTGTAGATATCAACTCGGCGAGCTGAGACTGTCACGGCCGCTCGAGCTGCGTTTTCCGCCGCTTTTTACTCACAAAAGAGGTACTAAATAATGTAATAATGCCTCAATTACAAAAAGTGGAGGGATTAAATGCGAAAACAGCCAACTAAAAAGGAAAGGAGGCCAGACAAGTTCGTTCAGCGTAGAGTGCTTGTTAGCATGCACGAGCTGCTGCAGAAACAAAAAAATATTTACAGTCTGGAGCAACTACATTAGCCCATGCGTTTGCAAAGTCCGAAGAGGGGGACTCAAGTGCTTTTGTAGTCCATTTTTGAGCCTTTTCTGCCTCTAAGGAGATGGCTATGCGACGCTGACCCTTTCCAGAGAGCAGGGAAACGCCAGTCAGCCCCCCAAAAATTCAGTGCTTCTATTAAAAAAAGTAAAATAAAACAACGAGTGTTTTCAATCTAGTTGCTCATTAAAATTTGCACATTTCAGTCCTGTTCAGCCTCCCAGTAGTGAGTGCCTCTGTAATCCCGTGCACCATTTCCGGTGGGGCAATGCGTAACGATCCAGCTCTCCCGTTTTTTCCAGCTCAGTGTGAATAAAATGAGGTTAATTTAATTAGAAATTAGACTTTTTTATTTTTATTTTAATGGCAAATTGGCTGCTCATGAGGCTGCTGAGCACAGACTGACACCATTCGGGTCTTCGGAAGGATACCACTCACAGCCGCACCTTACCAGTGGTCTTTTTGATTTGTCTTTGGCAACGTGGATACGGCTTAAGAAACACAGTTTTCTTTGTCTTTTGTTGTGTTTATGTGTCCTGGCTGTGTCACAAATTTACTTTTTTCCCAAGAGGCTCTCCTTTTTCCCTTTTTTTGCTACAGGGGAGCGCAGCCGAGGGAATGGACCGCAGCTGATGCACGAGCGTGCAGGTGGTGTTGAAACACTGCGTGAATTTTCTGCTCCTTAGATCTTCAGTGTTTCTAGTTTTGTGAATTGTTTTTTCGCCTTTCCTCCGCCTCAAAAATAATCCTCAGCACCTATGGTGATGGACTGAGCAAGGCGTTGTCGTTGGCGCGGTGTTTCCTCGTGATTGTTTGCGTCATTCTTGTTGACTTTTGGCATTGAAACAGATTTGTTTATTAATGGGCAATCTTTTTCTGCCCTCTTAGAGGGATTTTAGCCCTCTCGAGCAGCCGCCGTCCCGCCGCACAGTTCAACTTTATTTTCTGACGCACGTAGCAGCCTCTCAACAGGCCCTCTGCCCCTTTACCTTCTCGCAGTTTGCCAATGAGCAGCTCTGGGCAGGCCCGTTCAGGGCTTTCTGGGGCTGCTGGAGTCCGGGGTGCGCAGCAGCAGGCGCAGGAGCAGCAGCAGCGGAAGCCGGAGAAGGAGCAGCAGCAGCAGAAAGCTCAAGAGCAGCAGCAGCAGCTGGCGACGCGCGCAAAGGACTTCGCAGACCCCAAAGATGACTGCAAAGGAGACGCGTCGTGGATGGCTCCCCTTTTTGGGTCCCCAAGTTCGCTGCGTTTGGCGCTGCACGTTTTTGCCGAAAGGTCAGGGGGGGGCCACTCTGTGATGGACTGCCGCCTCTTTGGCCGCAACAAAGTCGAAACTTGCAAGTGGAACGGCTGGGGCTACTGCGACACTTACGTGTCCATGTCGAGCGCCTCAATGATTCGCCTTCACGGCTCCAGGTCAGCAGCGCCACACTGCAGCAGCAGCAGCGGCAGCAGCAGCAGCGGCAGCAGCAGCAAGTGCTGCTGCTGCTGCTGCTGCTCCAGAGCGAACAAAGTGGCGTTTTTGCAGCCATTGTTGCTGCTTCAATGTGCTGCTGCCTCTGCAGATACTCCCTCTGCGGCGTGGACATGGGCCACTGGCACGAATTCATGGAGTCCATTCCAGGCATAGAGTTTGCCTTCAGTTCGCCAGCTCAGGACACCCTCGTGATACCCCCGCAGCGGGTTAACAACGAAGCCTTTATTAAGGAGCTGCAGCAGCTGGTACTTTCCAGAGAGGCTCAGGGATAGAGCAGAAGTGCACTGGCTAGGAGAAGCTCAAGCCGCAGCAGCAACTCCTCCACTTCAGCCTTTTTCACCCTTTACACGTTTAATTTGGAAGGCAATGTTAAAATAATGAGAAGTATTTTGTACAATTTGGAGTAAATGTTCAATTGAAGATAGCTTTGTAGGACTCAGTTGCTACCACTTGCTGCCATTCCGATCCGTCTCCAGACATGAGTTTTCTGTGGACAGATATGCCCGCCGTAGCTGCTAAATAGCCTTTTTGCTGCTTCATTAGATAAGCTTCAGTGATAGTGGCAGCAACAAGTGGCAGCAGCAAGCGGCAGCACAAAGAGGCCGCAGCAAGTGGCAGCAGCAGCGCGTGTACCCGAAAGCTGCTGCTGCAGGCCCCTGAAATTGAAGTGGCGAACTCTGAAAAGGAGCGGCTTTTCCATGGCCACGGACACACCTGCAATGAGATCTTCGAGTTGAGATACGGGACTGTGGCGAGGCTGCCCGACGTGGTGTTGTATCCTAAGGAACACAAGGTGACTTCACTTCTGCTGCTGCTGCTGCTGCTGCTTCTTTGCTTCGGTTTCCCCGAAGCTGCTGCTCTTCTTTGCGCCTCCCTCAGTTCTGCTGCTGCCTCTGCCTTTGTGCCTGCGTCTATTTTTTGCTACTTGTGTCTTCTCTGGACTTTTGTCTCTGTTTCTGCTGCTATTTCCCTTCCTTTCTATGAGCCTTTGTTCCCCTGTGAGTGCCCCCTTTGCCCGTATACTCTTGCTTCTGCTTGTGCTGCATGCGCTGCATGCGCTCCATGCCTTGCATGCATTATTATGGGGCTTTGGACTGCGCAGGACGTGGAGGCCATTGTGGAGTGCGCTTCGCGGCACAATGTTTGCTTGATTCCGTTTGGGGGTGGGACTTCGGTGACTTTGGGGGTGGCAGTGCCTGTGTCTGAAAGCCGCATGGTGGCGACGGTGTCTTTAGCTTTTATGCAACGAATTCTTTTTCTTGACAAAGACGCTTTGCTCATGTGGGTAGAGGCCGGGGCCGTGGGCGCTTCCCTCGAAGAAAGGCTCCGCAGGCACGGGGTCACTCTGGGCCACGAGCCCGACAGCATGGAGTTCAGCACTGTGGGCGGGTGGGTGGCCACCAGGGCCTCAGGTGAGAACCACACAGCTAGCTAGCTAGCTGGCTAGCTAGCCTGCTCCCTGAACAGCTAGCTAGAAGGCTGCTAGCTGTTCTCCCCTACGTATCTGGCGCGTTCAGGAGCCTGGTGACCACAGAAACTCCAACACTCGGTGGAGAATTATGTAGGGATTTGAGTGCACTGAGAAAACATCTCTTGCAACTTTTTTAATTATTTGTTTTTGCTTTAAGGTATGAAGAAGAACCGCTATGGCAACATAGAGGACATGGTGGTGGACGTGGTGGTGGTCACCTCGAAGGGCAGTTTAAACCAGCAGCAATCCGCGCCTCGGGTTTCCTCGGGCCCTTCTCTGCAGCAGCTGATGCTGGGTAGTGAAGGGACTTTAGGCATTATCACGCAGGTGCTGCTGAAGGTCAAGTTGCTGCCCGAGGTGAGAAGAAACAGACCACTGGTCCAAAATGAGCGTTGTCTGGGCTGCTGCGCTGCCTTCTGCTGAACTGGGGGATAGTCCTTGCTGCCGTGCTGAAGAGTTAGGCAGCAACAGAAATAAATAATGGAAATTAGTCACAATGGCCGAAGCGCCTGTATTACGCAGGCGACAGATAGCTTTGTTTGCATTTGAAGGCTCACACACCCATTTCGTTCTTGTACCTATAGTAGGATCCCAGGCCCTTATTTCCAGTCCGTGTGACCAGTGGACCTATCTGCAATAAGTGGAATGTCTTGATTGATTAGTTCATGTTAGTTTGGTGTCGTGTGTTTGTTTTCTCTGGGGGCTGCACAGTGCAAGGCCTACGGGTGTCTCGCCTTCCCTACCTTTACTGCTGGCGTTCATTTTTTACGACATGTCGCTTTGGACAATTTACAGCCAGCCAGTATTCGTCTGATGGACAAGACGCAGACGCAGTGCGGCTCCCTTTTCAGGGTGTCACCCCCAGGTATATTTCGACTAGTTCGTTGTCTCGAAGTGTGTAATGGGCATGATTTGGTGCGTGGTTGCTGCTGCACACACTTAAAGTATTTAGTCACAAACATATTTTCTGCTTCTTTTGATGTAGTTCATGCACAACTTGTTCGTTCTTGCCCTCAACTCTCGAAGATTTGCGTCTCGTTGGGGTCCAGTGTGTTCCTTTGCGTGTAAAACCCAATTAAACACCACACATTTCCCTTTATTCTTGCCTCCGTCATGGCTTTCAACAAAACTGTGTTCTGTTCTCTCAGGGGGCCCCCCGTTGAAGGAGCTGTTGGCCGACCGCCTCAAGAAATTTTACCTGAACAAAATCAAGGGGTGGAAGGAAGAAGACCTGTGCGGCTGCACTCTTGTTTTCGAAGGCACCACAGAGGAAGTAAATACACAACGAAACAACATATATAAAGCTGCTAAACTCTACGGAGCCCTTCCGGCCGGGAGCAGCAACGGGGAGAGAGGATACCAAATGACTTTCTTAATTGCATATTTGAGGTAATCCCACTCCCCTGTCACTTCTAATTAGGACACTCTTCAAAACAGAAGAAAACAACAACTTATGATAATAATCTTACGCCAAATCACATGCCTTTACAGGGTTGCACGGACAACCTCAAAGACAAATGCAGTAATGCTTGCGGGCATATGCGTGGATACATCATCTTTGTTGATTTTGAATGCACAAAGAAAACCTTTTTCTGTCTCAGGGACTTCATCATGGAACATCACTGGATTTTTGAATCTTTCGAGGCCTCCATGGCGTGGCCGGTGGTGTTGGTTTGTTACCAGAGGGTTAAGGACAGAATAAAAAGTGACTGTTCCCGCCTCGGCATTAAATACCCGCCTTTGGTTATGGTGCGACTCACACAAGTTTACGACGGAGGCGCCGTTTTGTATTTTTATTTTGGCTTCAACTGGGCAGGGCTAAGGGAGCCCATAAAGGTGAGAGGGTGCATTCTTTCAAATTGATGTTTTAGAAGCAGATGCGACAATGCATTTGAATGAAGCTAACTAGCTAAACATTAGCTTTTATAATTTGTCAATTTTGTGTTGATTTGTCCTGCACGCGATACGAATGGTCCGTTTGTTGCTGCTGCTGCTGCTGCTTGCCGCTCCTCCTGCAGGTCTTCAGTGAAGTCGAACACAATGCGCGCCAAGTCATTCTAGACTGCAAAGGATCGATTTCTCACCACCATGGTGTCGGGAAGCTCAGGAAAGAGTTCATGGCCAAAGCAGTCGGCAAAACCGGTAAAGACGAAGCTCGAGAGCTGCACTTTGAACAATACAAAAACCTTACAACAGGAACCTTACAACGCGGCCGTATTTGCCGCCTTGCCGCTGCATTGTCCTTGTGTTTTCTGTCTTAATCCGTCTATTTGTTTTATTTTCCGTTTTGTGTCCACTTCTGGCGCTTCTGCAGGGATGGAACTCCTGCGCGCCACCAAGGACGCCGTCGACCCGCAGAACATTTTCGGCAACGGCAATATGATCTAAGGACTTTAGAACCCGAGAAGTTGACTTTTTACTAACGCATAATGCCAAAGCAGATGGATCATTTCAACTTGCAAGTTTAAATGAGGGCCTAAAGGGAGGGCTACTTACTGCTTGCTGACGCAGTTGAGCAGCAGCGGGAAAGGAGCAAAAAGCAGCAGAAAGTCCGCCAAACGACACTGTATTTGAACAAGTGATGCTTCTGCTTTTTCTTTTTTTGTTTGAGCTTTTTTTTGAGGTTAACTCGGAGCCAATTTATGGCGCGTGAGGGCGTTGATATACTTTGCTTCTGAGAGGCCTTGGTGCACGGAACGAGCGGCGTGTGCAATTTCACCACAATGAGCTAGCAATGGAACACTAGAAAGATTAGAACTAACTTGCACATTGGCACGCAAACATCTAACAAAAGTAAATAGAAGTAGACAGATTTAAGCGGAGCTTTAGGCAGCCGATTCTTCCTGAAATCTCCTTGTGCTCGCCCGGGAGTCCACAACGGGCGTGGCTGAACTTCATTTATATCTAGCCTCAAGTTTTCTCCGTTTGTTCCTTCGGCTACAAATGGAAAAGTTAGTCTAAGACATAAAGAGGCACTTTATTATTGCCGCTGCAAAAACTTGCAACATTGCATAGTTTGCCCACGGCGCCCAGAGCGGTCGGCAGCAACGACAAAACCTGGATCCTATGGAGGGAATCGACAAGAGGGTGTAAAAGTGGAGATTTGCAGATAAGCTTTAATAATAAAACAGACAGCGTCACAATATTTTACTTCGCAAAGGGAATATTGCATGCATTCACTGCGCTAGAGGGGCCCCAGTGACAACAGCGGGCTGGAGAACTCTCTGGGCGTAATTCTGCAATGCGGCGACCTGCGCTGCGGGTTTCAACGCTGAGGACAATACAATACGGTGATTGATGCATTTTATTTTCGAACCAAGAGTGTTAATTATCGAGCGGAGCTCAGGTTAGGGCTGTAGTGAAAAATATTGCAAGTTCGCCGGCGCCGAGTGTTGGGCGTGCAGCCGAAACAGCGCGAATTCGCGTTTACCTGTGTGATCCTCTCAGCTTTGAAAGTATGGCGCAGCACTTGGCCCTCTCCAGCGCTGCTGCAGTCCTCGGCTGCGGCATGTACGGCTACCTGCGGGCAGGTTCAGCAGCTTCTCTTGCAGGAGGAGCTGCTCTTTGCTGCGCGTTTGCCGTCTCGGGCCTCGCCATTCAGAAAACTGATCACATTGGCTTTGCCAGCATCGCCGCTGCAGCTTCGGGCGCCGCCTGCACCGCCATAGGCGCGAGGAGGTGGTGTCGGGTGCGCATGCAGCAGCAGCAAGGCGTCAATATTTCCTGGAATCTCTGCAAACAAACTTCCTCACGAAATAAAACAGACAATTGCTCAATTTTGTGCATGTCTTAATGCCCCGAATGTCGTTTTTTCACAAAAAACGAATACAGCTTTGCTTCTGCTGCTGGTGCTTTTTGCAGGCGTCCAGGAAAGTGGCTCCTCTACTTCTGCTGACTATTGGAGTCACGAATGTTGCATATTACTCAATGAAGGCCTGGGAGTTCCGGGAGAATCTTTAAACTTGGAGAATTTATTTGATCTCGCTGCTCTGCAGATCTTTTCCCGCAGCCCTTGCTGCATTCCTGATCTTTTTGAAAATCCTTTTTCTTTGGTTGGCGGCTTAACCGTGTCTATTCTGAAATGTGCATTTCTGAAATGATTCAAAGCAATGGTGAATGCACAGCTCAGTGCCGCCTGCCCATTCACGGGGGCCACTGGACCAATTTTATTTTGATTCAACAGTTCAGTGACACCCTTTGCTTCATTTAATTCAAGTTGTTGCACTTCACTTCGATTTTGCAGAGGAATTTCTATTTTGCTTCGTTGTTGCTACCAAGTTCCCACCCAAACAATCCCCTGCCTTCCACCGGGCCGTCTCGCGAGCCTCTTGCGACCCGTTCCATTTCAGCTCTTCTTTAACCTCTCTGCCGATTTCAAGTTACTTCTAAATGTCATTAGTTGCTGTACAAAAGAATTTTTCGGCTTCTCCCCGACCAGCAAAAGTTTCCAACTCAGATTCAAGAATGCAACTATGAGCAGCGCAGTTCCCAGCCGCAAGGCTTACTGCACAAACAGTAAATAAGAGTATCTAGATTTTGTTTTTGCTTAAAAATGTAAAACACTTCCTAAATTTTGCTTATTTTTGCAAAAAATTGAACTGAGGGATTCTTTCTACATCATCAAACTAAGAAAGCGCAGGTCCGCCGCAAGATGCACTTTTGAATTAGTTTGCAAAAAACTCAGCCCTGAAGAAAACTTGATCCGAAGGCTTCTTGCCTAATGAGAGGGCATTGCAAAAGTCGCTTTCCGTTTGTAAATTGTGTCGCTCCGTGAAAGTAAGCAAACCTGACGAAGCACCCACCGATCTGTGCTGTCTGTACAGTGCTGCTGCAGCTGCTGCTGCAGCTGCTGCTGCAGCCGCTGCTGCAGCCGCTGCTGCAGCCGCTGCTGCAGCCGCTGCTGGAACTGCTACTGCAGCGCTACTGCAGCCGCTGCTGCAGCCGCTGCTGCAACCGCTACTGCAGCGCTGCTGCAGCCGCAGCATCAGCCGCTGCTACAGCCGCTGCTGCAGCCGCTGCATCAGCAGCTGCTGCAGCTGCGGCTGCAGGAAACGCAACTTGAACTCAAATTTCAACTTCTGCTGCCCCCCGCCCCCGGCGGCCGCGGCTGCTGCTGCTGCCTCAGCCAGCCCCCCGCAGCGTGGCTTTCTTTGCACGCAACCAGCTGGTGAAGCTGCCAGCTGTGGGGCCATTAATGTTAAGTGGCAAGTGGGGCCTCTTTGGCTAGAAAGCCGCAGCAGGGCCGCACGGGCGCCGCCGCAGCAGCAGCAGCAGCAGCAGCAGCGCAGCCCGCGCAGCTCTGTAGGTCCCCAGCTGTCCGCAGCGGGAGAAGCAAAAAGCCAACAAGAGGCAGCAGCGCCGGGAGCTTCCTGAAACTAAACAAGAGACTTCAGCTCAAGTTCTTTTGCAACTGGAGAAGAAGGAACTGTGCAAGCCCGAGTGGGCCCCTCAGGAGCAGCATTTGCTGCGCCTTGTTGAGAAAGCGGCGGCAGAGCAGGCGCCACATACGGCTCTGCAAACGAGGCAGCAGCAGCAGCAACAGCAACAGCAGCAGCTGCAGCACAGGCTCTGGGCAGCAGCAGCAGCAGCAGCTACAGCACAGGCTCCGGGCAGCAGCAGCAGCTGCAGCACAGGCCCCGGGTAGCAGCCGCTGCAGCACGGGCTCCGTGCAGCAGCAGCAGCAGCAGCAGCACTCGGGGAGTCTCACCTGGGGGCTCGTCGTACAGCGGGGGCCCCTGGGGCCTCCCCAAAACCTGCACAGTGCGGGAGTCCAGCTCGACAGGGGCAGCGCGGCCCACAGCTATGACTGTGGGGCCCGGGGGCCCCGAGGGGGGCCCCCCGGGGGCCCCCGACCCTGGATTGACGCGTTCGTATTCATCTCCAAGTCCAGAGAGCAGCGGCAGCCTCGAGACTTGCATTGTGTCGTCTGCGCAGCACAAAATGCCGCAGAAACAGCAGCAAAACAAGTGTTCCAGCAGCAGCGCAGCAGCAGGTGCAGGCCAGCAGCAGCCCAGCCGAAGACCAGCAGCAGCCCAGCAGCAGTGCAGCAGCAGCCCAGCAACAGCCCTGCAGCAGCAGCGCAGCAGCAGTGCAGCCGCCGCCCAGCAAAAGCGCAGCAGCAGCGCAGCAGGGATTCGTGAGGAAGCAGGTTGGCCTGGGTTCTCTGCAGCAAACGGGAAGCGTGGAAAGTTGAGCTGCTGCTGCTGCTGCAGCTGCAGACCTATGCGGAGGACGAAAGAGGAAATGCAACTTTTGTGTCGGAGTTTGAAAGCGATGAAGTCCGCGAGGAAGATCGCGAGAATGCCGAGGCCGACGGGACCTGAAATGTAGAAGAAGTTGTGGGTGACTTTGCGTTCAATCCAGTTCAGCGCGTAGAAAAATCTGTAAGTTCCCAAAACTAAAACGTAAGCTGTCAACAACTTGTCGCGGTTTTCGGGATCGCGGTAACAGAAAATGAACTGCGGGAGCATCGCGAAGCCCTGCGGCGCATCACGGGGTGTACGTACACCTCAACTTGCACACGCGACCTGAACGTGAATTTGCAGAAAGCTGCGGAATCTGCAGGAAACTTGAAATTAAAACGCCCAATTTTCGCTTTTTTCACTAAATACCTGCAAATAATGCGAAATAATCCACAAATACTGCAGCAAAACTTCAAAATTCGACCCCGGCTTCGGCTGGTCCAGCAGGAAGTTGAGGGTCCCCAGCAAAACGGACAACACGCACAAGACCGGCAACGAACATGAGTCTTTTCTTCTTTCCCAAGACTGCCGCAGCCAGAAAATCGAAAGCACCAAAACCAAAGAGCTCGCCATGTAGAAGAACTTCAGCGCCTGCCACCGCAGCAGCAGACACAACTCCCAGCAGCAGCCCTGCAGCAGCTGAAGGAATGGATTTTCATTCAAGTCCATTCTCTTTCTTTCAAGTCCATTCTCTCTTAAGCTTTCAAACACTCAACTCTAGCCTCCGCAGCAAACAGCAGCAAACAGCAGCAAAGCAGCAGCGCGGGAAATAAGTAACCAGAGTCTTTATTTGCTGCTCTTTGTGCAGAAAGCTGCAAAGACTTCTCTCTAAGACTTCGGGGGGCTCCATCTCGTTGACTCGCTGCGCAGCGCACGGAGCCACGCAGCAGCAGCAGCAGCAGAAAAAACGCGCAGCAGCAGCAGAAAAAACGCGCAGCAGCAGCAGCAGCAGCAGCAGCACCTTGATCCAGTGGTTGGGGTGGTCGGTGAAGAAGCTGTCGAAGTAGCGGAACCAGTAGACGAGGAGAAAGAGAATTTGGGTTTTGACGCTGAGTCCTTTGAAGCCCCTGTTGGAGATGAGCAGGTCCAGCAGCAGCACGAAGCTGGCGCAGTGGAAGAACTCCCCCAAGGCCACCCAAATGGTCACCAGGGGCTCGTAGAGCTGCTGCAGAATGAAGAGGACGGCCAGCGCAATCAGCGCGAGCCAGCGCAGCGTCACGTGCAGCATTTTGCTGCAGCACGGCCGCAGGCGTGTCTGCTGCAGCCACTCAAGCCAGCAGCTGCAGCGGAGGCCCCAGTGGTCTTGCTGCGGCTCCCTAGCTGGCCCGGCCTTCCATTGCAGCAGAAACGCGCGCAAGTGCCCTCCGAATGCTCGCTGCTGCTGCAGAAGGCCAGCGAAAAGGCCGCTGCTGCAGCAGCAGAGCTCGCCGTCCACGCGGGGCAACACAGACGCTCCAAAGAACTGCAGCAGAGACCCTCCGCTCTCCTCTTGTCTGGTTAAATCTGCAAAAGATTTACTTCAAACCTGAAAAGGAACACCCGCGGCTCCGGGCCACCGCAATCGCCCAGACGGCCAGCAGCCTGCCGGGGCTGGCTGTTGCTGCTGTCGGCAGGCGGCGCAGCTGCAGGCCCGAAAACTCCAACACATCCGCTTAAAAATTCAAAGTTTATTGTTTAAATTTGAAACGAAAGTTGAAAAAACTTGCAACTCTTTCGAAGATGCCGGAACGGCCGGTTCTGCACATCTGCACGACTCGCATACACCCCAGAGCAGCGGCAACCTGCGCGCCGATCTGCTCCCAGCAGCAAACTGTTGCTCCTCTTTTTGTTGCCTTCCAGCTTCTTTGTTATTTTGCTGCAAATCCCTGCAAAAGTGGCTCCAGAGAGCGCTCTTTAGTTCAAGAAGGAACCCGGATCCCGGGACGCTGCGTGCAGCTGCAGCGCGGTGGAGATTCACCACGCTAACATTACCACTTCACTTCCAACTCGACTGCAAAGCCACTGACACAAAACAAATTTTCCAACACAACTTCAAAAGTCACTTCCTTCGCGGCATCCCGCTAAGGGAATCTGCCACCAACCCGGAGCTACTCAGCCCGACAGAGCTGACAACAGAGGCCTAGATGTTGGGGAACAAACAGATTAATTGCAAGAGAATGGCCAAAAAAGCCAAATGGTCCTGTTTTCAGCACTAAACAATGAAACTACGTCTATTTTAGGCCATTAGGACCACTGGAGGTTGCAGTACTTTCGCCGAATTGCGTGAAATAGTGTATGCATCTCCAGTGTACATACAGCATTGAAGACGGGCATTTCCATGTAAATTGCCCTTTATTTGTCTTTTCTTTGGCTTCTTTGTTTGCCACTTCTGAAATTGAAAGACAGTTCAATATTGCAAAATGCAATAATAGTAATAGTAACAACAAAAGCCACCAAGCCACGGCGCTGTGCTGCTAGCCACTTCTAGCTGGCTAGCCACAACGCTGCGCTGGTAGCTAGCTGCCCTGGGCTGGCTAGGCACAGCAATTTGTGGCCCTCTGGCCTTTCATTCTGCATGGCAGTCATTGAATTTAAACGAATGCCCGCAAACACTTCATAATGGCAATTTCGGCCAGAGGCAGCTCATACTGAAATAAACCCTAAACCCTAAACCCTAGACCCTGAGGAGAGAAACATTGCCACCTGTACCTGCGCTGCGCAGGAAGTCCCGCCGCAGGCCACATTTGCTGCTCTGCTGCACCCTTGCTGCAGCTTTGGTGCAGCTTTGCTGCAGCCTTGCTGCAGCTTTGGTGCAGCTTTGCTGCAGCCTTGCTGCAGCTTTGGTGCAGCTTTGCTGCAGCCTTGCTGCAGCTTTGGTGCAGCTTTGCTGCAGCCTTGCTGCAGCTTTGGTGCAGCTTTGCTGCAGCCTTGCTGCAGCTTTGGTGCAGCTTTGCTGCAGCCTTGCTGCAGCTTTGGTGCAGCTTTGCTGCAGCCTTGCTGCAGCTTTGGTGCAGCTTTGCTGCAGCCTTGCTGCAGCTTTGGTGCAGCTTTGCTGCAGCCTTGCTGCAGCTTTGGTGCAGCTTTGCTGCAGCCTTGCTGCAGCTTTGCTGCAGCTTTGCTGCGGCTTCGCTGCAGTTTCGCTGCAGCTTTGCTACAGTTTTGCTACAGCTTTGCTGCAGGAGCTGCTGCGGGAAGCAGCACAGGTGACAGCGCCAATAAGTAAAAGCCCGCAGCTGCTCCACTGGCGGCATATCTTCTGTGGAGGCCACAGAAGTGTCCTTTGGTAACTTCGTCCGCCAACTCTGCTGCTTGCAGCTGCTGCCAGCTGTCAGCCACAGGTGCAGCAGCAGCAGCAGCAGCCACCTGCTGCTAGGCCAAGCCGTGGGGCGCGCTGCGAAAAGCTGCAGCTCGAGTGCTGCAGGATGCTCTGCGCAGGTCTTAACTGGCTGTCAGTACAGCTCACTAAGTTCTTAGCAGCAGCAGCACTCAGCAAAGCTGCTGCTGTTATGTTTTTGTTTTTAAAAAGCCAAATCCAGGGGTGAAGGCCTTAACGCATGCTGCCAGAAGCCTCTCTGCAGCAGCAGCAGCAGCAGCAGCATCTACGAAACGGGGGCGCTGGCCCGGCAGCAGCAAGAGGCCTCGTGCATGGTGGCCTGCAGCAGCACCTGCTGCAGCACTTGCCTCAGCAGCTGCCTTGCTGCTGCTTGCGGTGCATGCACATCGACAATGTTGCAACAGGGGTAATACCTGAGCGACGCCTTCAGCGAGGGAACGCGTACTTCTGTTGTCGCAAGGGCTGCTGCAGTTGCTGCTGCTGCTGCTGCTGCTGGCGCTGCTGCTGCTGCTTCCAGTGGGGCAGCAGCTAAGCAGCAACATGCATGCGGCGCACCCGCTGGCTCAGCAGTAGTGATGCTGACATCTGCAAAGCCCCTTTGTCGCAGCAGCATTTCCACTTCCTGCATATTAGGTTGCCCAAACAGAAGTGTGGGGCAGCAGCACTTCTGAGCAGCAGCAGCAGTAGCATCAACATGACCGCCTGGGGGAGACACAGCAGCAGCATCTCTTGCTGCAGCGGGCAGCAACGTTGCGGTGTTGCCCTTGCAATACAGCAGCGTGCCCTCAGCAACTGGTGCAACAGCAACGCGCTGTTGCTGCAGCTCTTGGCCGCAAACAGACCTAGCAGCAGCAAGAGCAGAAGCAGGCGCAGCAGCAGCAGCAGGAGCAGCAGCAGCAGCTGTTGGGGCTTCATATGCCTGCAGCGGGGGGTCGTCAACTGCCACATGCAGCAGCGAGAAGCGCTGCGACAGCAGCACAGCATCTTCAAAACAAACCCTCTTCTCCAAGCCGAGCACTGCTGTAGGGTCCATAAATTGAAACCGCTGCTGCTGCTGCTGCTGCTGTTGCTGCTGCGGTGGCTGCATGCTAAAGGGGAGCCACCAATTAAAGAAATGCGGCAGCGCCACGCAAGCGGAGGGAGCAGCCCGCAGCAGCAGCTGCAGCACATCCTCAGCAGAGAGTCGAAAGTCCAAAGGGATTGCTGCCACCTGTATTGCCATATCACCTGCTGCTGCTGCTGCAGCTGCTGCTGCTGCTGAGGCCTGCTGTTGCTGCTGTTGCTGCAGCAACGGGCCTACGAAGGACTCATCGTAGAAGAACGGCCACAGCAGCAAACCGCAAGCAGCAACTCCCAGCTGCCGGGCCCGCCCCTCCAGAATAGCAGCAAGAGAGACTGCATTTGAGTCAGTGGTGCTGCTGCTGCTGCTGCTGCCTGTGGCAGCAGCAGTAGCAGTCTCAGCTTGCCGCTGCTGATAGCGCTGCAACAGCACTTGAAGGTCCTTTGAAAGGTGGCTTTTGAGCGCTGCTTGCTGCTGCACAGAAGGGGGCCGCACGATATCACCTGCTGCAGCAAAGGTCGGATCAATCATCAGCAGCAACGTGTTGCTGCTGCGCCGCCACTGCTGCAGCAGGTTGGCAGCAGGACCCACGCGCAGTGCAGCAGAAGCAGCAAGGACTACACAGGGCCTCCTCAGCGGCGGCAGCTGCAGCAGCAACTCAGCAGCAAAGAGTCGGTGCATCTGCTGCAAATCAGCATAGCCAAAGGGTGGATCACAGCAGAGGTCAGCTGCTGCTGCTGCTGCTGCTGCTGCTGCGCCGCCACCCCGATACTGCTGCTGCTGCTGCAGCTGCTGCTGTGGAGGCTGCACCCACTCCACAGCCTCGTCAGCGCACCGCAGCAGCAGCGGCCCATTGAAGCCTACAGTGTACACGCATGCAGCAGCAACTGGCCGCTGCAGGTCCCGCAGCAGCAGCGGCAACAGCTCCAGCTGCTGCATGCCACACGGGTCTGTAGCGAGCAGCACAGTAGTGCCTTCGGCCAGTGCAGCAGAAATAACGCGCAGCAGCAGCTGCAGCCGCTGCTGAATAGGCACCTCCCCTCTTGGTTTGCTGCTGCTGCTCTCCTGCGTGCTGTTGCTGCTGCCGCTGCCGCCGCCATTGCTGCTGCTGCCTGTGCTGCTCTCCCGTTCCGGCTTGACGCTGCTGCTGCGGCTCTCGCTGCTGTTATCGTTTGCTGGAGCGGCCGTGGCTGCCGGCGGGTTCACGCCGCTGCTTGAAGCACTGTTGCTGCCCTGCTTGCTGCTGCTGCCACTGCCGCTGCTGCTGCTGCTGCTGTTGCTTGTGCTGGGGTGGACGCGCGCGCGAGGAGGAAGACACTCGAAAAAGAGGACTGCATCAGCAGTGGACAAACAGCTCCAGTCGGCCTCTAGCGGGCTGCGTTGGAAGACTATGCTGCTGCTGCTGCTGCTGCCGTTGCTGCTGCTGCTGCTGCTAGGTCCCACGATAAATATCTTCCGGTTGCAGGGAGTTTCTATCAGCCAATTCGCACCCCCCAGACAGAAGCCGCTGCTGAAGGGAGTCACTATGTATTCCTGGTCCAGGTCAGGGCCTGCTGCTGCTGCTGCTGCTGCTGCTGCTGTTGACGGCATAGTCGCAGCAGCTCTAATGATGTGGCGCTGGCCGTAGCTGCAGAGCTGCAACAAAGCCTCAAGATCCTTCAGCTCGCTAGCCCTGCTGCTGCTGCCCTGCTGCAGCAGCAGCAACAAGTCGTCGCCGTTTTCTTCCAACAGCGCTGCGCTGTCGTCGTGCTGCTGGCTGCCCGCTGCAGCAGCAGCAGTGACCCGAGCCGCTGCAGCCCTTGCTGCTGTTGCTGCTGCAGCTGGATCTGCCACAGCATCATCAGCAGGAAGCACACATCCCCCCTGCTCCGACCGCAGGAAAGAAATGCCTGTGCATCCCAGTAAGGCTACAGGCTTGGTGACAAGCACCAGTGGGAGCTGCTGCTGCTGCTGTTGCAGCTGCTGCAGCAGCAGCGGCACACCCAGCAGCCCCTGTGGGTTCGTAATGAGTATGGCGTGTAGGGGGCGGCCCCCCAGTTGCTGCAGCAGCTGCTGCGCGTGGAGCCGCAGCTGGCAGCTAAAGCGGCCCGGAGAGGCCCCCACTCCTGCTTCTGTTGCTGCTGCTGCTGCTGCTGCTGCTGCTGGCGGCTCTCCTGCTGCAGCGGCGGCAGCAGCAGCAGCCGCTGCTGCTGCTGTAAGGGTCTGATACCCCATGGGCGCTGACTGCAGCAGAGATCTCAGCAGCAGCGGGCAGTCCACCAACACGTTTAGGGGCCCCACCTGCAGCAGCAAGCAGCTAGAAAGGTGCGTATCTGCTGTTGCTGCTGTCCTCACTTTGCCGCTGCTGCTGCTGCTGTCTAGGGGCCCGAATAAAGTTGCTTCCACCGCTGCGCAGCTGCGTCTCATCGTCATCGGCGCTCCTTCCATCTTCCCACAGAGCAGCAGCAGCAGCAGCAGCAGCTGCTGCTGCTGCCAGCAGCTGCTGCTGCTCTTTCTGCTATTTTTGCAAGCTGCAGCCTGCTGCTGGTGGTACTGCGCTGGCTTCGCAGCGGAAGCTTCTGCTGGTGTTCGTGGTACTGCGTCTACTGCTGCTGAGGCTGCTGCTGCAGTTGGCGTTGTCGCTGTTGTTGCTGCTGGTGCAGCTGCTGCTGTTTCTGTATCTCTAAGGGGGCCATTGGCATCAACATCCTTCCCTTTCGCAGCGCTCTGGGGAGTTTCTGGTGCTGCTGCTGCTGCATCTGCTGCTGCTGGGGGCCCCCGTCGGCAACGGGGCGGGAACTCCTCACAGATTTAGTCCCTAATTCATGCTGGGTGCTGCCCCTAGGCATTAATAGCCTTTATCAAACTGAAGACATTTGTGCAGAAAGCATCAGCAACAGTAACGAGTGTAGAAGTTGTCGCTGGCCTCCGACTAGCAGCAGCAGCAGCAGCAGCAGCAGCATGCAATGTTGAAGCTACTGCGCAGCAGTAGGCTACGACGAAATCGAGTTTTTCGGGTCCGCAGGTGAAATAAAGACTCATTGAGAGAACATTTTCCCGCTGGAGCCCCACTAAGTGCAGCTGCTGCGGCAGTTGCAGCTGCGGCTGTAACTGCAGCTCCAGCTGTTGCTGCTGCAGCTGCTGCGTTGCAGACCACACCGTTGTTTAAGCCAAAGGCCAAAAGGCACAAGAGATAAATAATCAGCTGCGGAGGCAGAAACACAAGCCCTAAGGACAGCAGGAGCAGTAGAGCTGGCGCTGGTGCTGCTGCACCTGCTGCCACACAGTGGTCTGCCAGCAACAGACACAAAGCCGCCTCTGGTGGAGAGTGGATGCTGCAGCCTCTGGTGCCTGCCCCTTGCTGCACTGGCTGCACAGCCGCAGCAGCTGCTGCTGCGAGCACAGCAATAACAGCAGCAGCAGCAGCAGCAACGCTGAAACCAGTGGTCAGCGACTACTGCCGAAAGGCGCACTGCACAGAAACCGAAACAACCCATGCGGCAGCAGCAACGGCAGCCGCAGCAGCAGCAGCAACAGCAGGCACAGCGGCAAGATGGCTGGGTGTGAGTTGCTGCAGGGCCTTGCTGCAGAGGCCCTGTACTGCTGCATCAGAAATGATGACGAGGTAAGCAGGCTGTCGGTACACCCTAGCCCCCGCTGGTGCTGCAGCTGCAGCTACTGCAGCGTAAGCTGCTGCTGCGGCCATTGCTGCTTCTGCTGCTGCTGCTGCTGCGCTTTTTGTCCGTTGCTTTTTCTTCCTTCGTTGCCGCTGCTGCTGTTTCTTCTGCTTCACTTGCTGGTGGTGCTGTCACTCCTACTGCTGATTCTGCTCTTCTTTGTACTGCTGCAGCTGCCAAGGAGTGCTGCTGCTGCCCTCACGGAGTTGCTGCAGAGTGTGGGGCCGCTGCTGCTGCGTCGCATAGGAGCAGAGGCGGACCTGCTGCTGCATCGAGTCCGAACGTCTGCAGCAGGAGCTGCAGCGGGCGCGGAGGATGAGAAGCGCCTGTGGCAGCTGCTGGAGGTGCTGCTGCTGCAGCTGCAGCAGCTGCCGATCGCCCTGCAGCAGCAACTGTGTTCTTGTGTCTCGCTGCAGCTAGCCCCCTCAGGCCCTCCCCTCAGAAGAGCAGGAAGCAGCAACAGCAGCAACAGCAGCAGCATCTTCACTTCATCTGCTGTGCGCCCATCCCCCTTTGTGGGGGGAAGCGCTTTGCTGCGGCGCTCTGTGTCCTCAGCAGAGGACGTCACTGTTGCTGCTGCTGCTGCTGCGTCTTTAGCAGCAGCAGGGACTGCAGCAGCAGCAGGATCAGCAGCTCAAGCCACGATGCTCGCGGGGAGGCCAATGAGACGCTGCCTACCGTGTTTGCAGCAGCAGCCTCCCCCGCAGCAGCTGCTGTTGAATATGGCGAACAGCAGCACCGCCCATCACCGTGCTGCAGGGGAGACGCAGGAGCAGCAGCAGGAAGCAGCAGCAGCAGGCTTTGCTGCTGGCACGTCGCCCACAGCAGCAGCAGAACAGCAGCAGCAGCAACGCGCCAACTTGGCCCAGAGGTTCCAGCAGGCTGGAGACGCCCTTTCCCCTCGGCGCTTCATGAGGAGAATGAGTTCGCCGCAGCGCCTGCAGCAGCCGCTGCAGCAGCAGCAGCAGCTCTACACTGCAGCAAGTCTTCAGGAGCGCGTGACGCTGCGGCGGAAGCACTTTTTAACCATCTGGATAGACACTGCATCCGCAACAGGCGCTGCTGCTGCTGTCCTTGCCCGCGCAGCAGCAGCTCAACTTGCAACAGCACCATCAGCAACAGCACTAGCAGCTGCAGCAGAAGCAGCAGCTGCTGCAGACGTGGTGTCCCGGAGAGAGCGCTGCATGCAGCAGCAGCAGTTCCTGCTGCTCACGTGGCTGCGGCAGCTTTCTAGCGCCCTGAAGGCAACAGTTATGTCTTCTACAGCCACAAAGCGGCAGCAGCAAGACTGCAGCACAGTTAATGGGCTGCTGCAGCTGCAGCGCATGCAGCTGTTGCCAGTGTGCACGCTGCTTGGCGTTGCTGCGGCTGCAGTGGGGTGCCTGCGGAGCGGCTTCCTTGCTGCGTCTGTTGCAGCAGAGCGACAGCAGCAGCAGCGGGGGCAGCAGCTGCTGCTGCAGGTGCTGCAGGAGCTGCAAGAGCTTGCAGAAGTGCTTGGGGGAGAAGGACGGCCTCGAGCAATCTCCAGCGGCCTCTTATCCCAGCAGCTGCTGCAGCGGCAGCTGCAGCAGCGCGTGCAGCCGCTGCTGCTGCTGCTGCTGTGTGAGCTAAGAGACACGTCGCTCCTGGCTCTAGCAGAGGCAGCAGCAGCAGCAAAGGCTGCGCCGCGTCTTGCTGCTGGCAGCAACCTATCCGTCCCACCCACGCCATGCGAATCGCAGCAGCAGCAGCAGCAGCCGCAGCAGCTGACAGCAGCTGATGTGCTGCTGGGTGCGCGGCAGCAGAAGCTGCAGCAGCTGTTGTTTGCTGTTGCCCTTGAAGAAATGCGTCTTTGCACAGCAGACAGCCGCAGCGACGAGCTCTCAAGCCCTTCTTTGCTGCAGCCGGTTGCAGCAGCAGATGCTGCAGGTGCGTGCATGGAAGCAGCAGCAGCGCCGGCATCAGCAGCAGCAGCAGCTGCTGCTGCTGCAACTGCTGCGGCCCGCTGCAGCGCCGACACCTGGTGGAGCTGCCGCGTTATTTCTCGCTGGCTGCTGCTGCTGCACTTGAGCACTTGGGGAGCAGCACCAGTATCAACCGCAGCAGATGCAGCAGGTGCAGCAGCAGCAGCTGCAGCAGGCTCGCCCAGGCAAATGCTTGAGCTGTTCCGCTGGAGCATGCAGCAGCTGCAGCAGGGGTTGCTGCCGTTGCGGCGGGCTTTGCCACGCCTTCCCCAGCTGCAGCAGCAACTGCTGCATTTGTCGCAGCCAAGGCAGCAGCAGCGGCTCGTGGTGCAGCTGTCGCAGCAGCTGCAAGAGCAGCAGCAGCTGCTGCTGCAGAGCATGAGCTCGCTGCTGCGCCACCGCATCCGCAGGCTTGAGGCAGCAACAGTTTGTTTCTTTGCTGCAACCCAGCAGAGTCAGCAGCAGGGAAAACAGCAGCAGCAGCAGCAGCGGCAAAAGCAGCAGCTGCTGCGGCAGCGCACCCAAGACTCATCTTCACAGGGTGACTCCCTACTGCTGCTGCAGGCCGACTCCGCGTTGCAGGAATTTGCTGCTGAGTGCAGCAGCAGCAGCATGCGATACAAGTCGGACGTGACTGCAGCACAGCTTGGGGATATTTGTGCGCTTTTTATGCGGCAGCAAGAAGCCCGCTGTTTGTCCCTCATGCTGCAGCTGCTGCATTCTCGCCAGCAGCAGCAGCAGCAGCTGCAGCTGCTGCTGCAAGTGCTGCAGCAGCCGCAACACCGGGATCCGGAAGGCGGATGGAAGGCTCCAAGTGCCAGTGCTGCACCTGTTGACGTAGGCGCATGATCGACTTACGCGTAGCCAGCTACAGCAGCAGCAGCAGCAGCAGCAGCAGCAGCAGCTACAGCCGTCAGCAAAAGCTCGTAGTCTAGGCCTTACCCACACAACAGCTCATTACCTGATGCTGGGAATGCTGCCATTGCTGCTGCTGCTGCTTTGGTTTTTTTTTTTGCTGTTCATTTTGCTGCTGCTGCAGTAAGTAAACTTCCCTTGGGCCTTATTGTGAGTGTGCATGCGCTTCAGCTGCTTCTGCTGCAGCTCCTGCCGCAGCCGTCGCTGCTGCTGCTGCTGGGGACAGTGCAGCAGCAGCTGGTGTCAGCTTTTGCGGCTCCAGCCACAGTACCAGCGGGGCCCAGACATAAGCGCGCTCCAGATGAAGTTTCTTTTGCTGTTGCTGCTGCAGCAGCTGACCTGGCTTCTCAACAGCAAAGACATGCGCAGCAGCAGGCGGCGTTGCATGCAGCCGCCGCCGCAGCAGCAGCAACTGCAAGAGCCCTCAAGGGTTGTTCTTGCTCTTGTTGCAGCTGCAGCAGCAAAGCAGCAACCTTTATGATATCCCTCACTGCGGATTCTCTGCGAGTCGCAGCAGAAGAAGCAGCAGCGTCTCTCTTGAACACAGGAGCAGCAGCAGCAGCAACAGCAGCAGCAACAACAACACCGACGCCCTGCCTTTGGGAGGCCGCTGGCTCAACTCTCGCAAGAGGCATTGGCGCGTGCTTCCTGCTGCAGCTACTGCAGCAGGAGCCGCACACGACTGCCGAAGGCAGCAGCAACAGCAGCCACAAACTGCAGCAGCTTGTGTCGCGCAGGCAGCAGCAGCAGCAGCGGACAGACACCGCGTATGGCGAAGCTAGGTCCTCTATATTAGGAGATATTGCTGCTGCTGCTACAGGCGCATTCGTCACTGCAGCAGAAAAACGTGCTGCAGCAGCCGCAGCAGCTGCAGCGAGCGCTGCCATTTGTTGCCACTGCCTTACGCTGCTAGCTGAAGCAGCAGTAGCAGCAGCCGCTGCAGGACGCGTTTTGTGTTTATCTTTCCGATCCACTCTCACACAGTACGCTACTGCAGCTTTTGCGGATGCTGTCGTTGCATCTGTTGCACCTGCTGCTGCTGCCATTGCTGGTCCTGCTGCTGGTACATCTGTTGCTGCTGCAGCTGCTGCATCTTTGCATGCACTGATGTTTTCACCGCCTACTACTGAGTTTGCTTTCAGCACCGATTGATTCGGTTAATTGAGCCAACTTGTTAAATATATAGCGCTGCTGCTGCTGCACTTGCTGCTGCTGCCGATGCTGTGGCTGCTTCAGGCTGTTTTTTCTAGGGCTGGATGTATCCCTGAGAATTCATTGGAGTCTCAAAGGCCACTCCAAGACTCACCCAGCATGTCAGATTACACAGCTGCTGCTGCTGCTGCTGGAGCTTCTGCTCCTTTCGGTGCTGCTGCTGCTGCTGCTGTGGCTGTTGCTACTCTGGCACTGCTGCGGATGCTAGTTGCTTCTGCGAGCTATTTGTGCTGTTGCGTCTGCTGTATCATTAACCCAGGCACTGCTCTTGGCCTGCTGCTGCTGCTGCTGCTGCTGGTGATGCCGTCCTCTGCTGCTCCTGCTGTTTTGCCTCTCCTGATTGGGACTGCTGCCCTTGTCAGCTACTTCGTTGATTTTGCTGCTGCTGCATGCATTCGCGGTGGACCCCTGTTTTGCTGCAGCACCTGCTGCGCTGCGACTTCGACACGAGCTGCTGCATTTGGGCCGCGCCCTTGTCATCTGCGGACAGCAGCAGCAGCAGCAGCAGCAGAAGCAGCAGCAGAAGCAGCGGCAGTACCAAGCTTGTTGTTCCGTTCACGCTCCGTACTATGCACCGTCAGCTGCAGCAGCTGCTGCAGACGTAAGCTAGCACCGTTACTACCCCTGCAGGAGCAGCACTGTGGAAGCATTGCCAGCAGCAGCAGCAGCAGCACTTTTTTTGCCCTTGTGTGGCTTTGTCTGCAGCTGTGGCTCAATGTTGCACTGCATGCGGACATTGAATGTAATTCAACTGGGGAGAGGAGGCAGCAGCAGCAGCAGCAGCAAAAGCAGCACAAGCAGCCGCAGAAGCATTCTCATCTGCAGCAGCAGCAGCAGCAGCAGCACAGGGAGGTCCTGCGCGCGCTGCTACACACCGCAAGCCTATTAACGGGCCCCGTAGTTGAAAGCCATTTCTTTATGTTGCGCAGCAGCAGCTTTGTAAGTGGTGACGCTGCTCATGTGAGTTTCGCTGCATGCAATGCTGCTGCCCTTTGCGTTGCTCCACCTGCTGCAGCTGCTGTCTTTGCTGCTGTAGCTCACCCTGCAACTATCAGCTCGCTGAGCCGGACGACCACTGCAGCCGCTGTTGCTGCTGCTGGTCCTGCTGCTGCTGGCGGCACTGCTGTGTTTGCTGCAGACTCACCTGCCAGCGGATGCTGCTGCTAGCTCGTTGCCCCGTCCCCTGTTACAGCTGCTTCAGCAGCAGCAGCAGCAGCAAGAGCAGCCGAAGCAGCAGGAGGACCTTTCCCAAAGTCACGCCGAGCGAAGGCTGCATCAGGCTGCAGATACATGCGCTTTGGCAGCAACGTTTGCTGCTGCTTGTCACAGAGCAGCGGTACATACCGCATCACTGCGGCTGCTGCTGCTGCTGATGCTGCTGCTGCTGCTGGTTTTCTGCTTTGTCTGGTACTGGCGGCTTTATTTTTCAGCCGTTTGCACTTGTTTATTGAAGCTTATCTGTATCTGCTGCTGCTAAATTTTCTGCTGCTCTTTTTACTTCTGATGCTGCTGCGATGCAGAGCGGCGGCAGCGCCTGTGAGGCGTTGCGCTGCCTCCATGCAGTTACGGACTGCAGCAGCAGCAGCAGCAGCAGCAGCAGCGGCACAAGTAACGGCATATCTAGCCCTGCTCAAGAGGCCAAGAGGGTTCTCAGATGTGCGTAAACATTAAAGGATGCTGCGGCTGGTGTGCTGCTGCTGCAGTTTCTGCTGCGCTGCAGATGAACCCAATGTCAGCGCTTCGAGCTGCAGCAGGAGACTTCAGCTGTCTGCTGCTGCTGCTTCAACTGCTGCTTGTGCTGCTGTTGGTGCCACAGGGAAGGCTTTAATGCTAGCGGTTGAGCGGTGGGCTCAAGCGCTTGTCGCTGGGCGCAGCAGCAGCAACGGTTCGGCCAGCAGCAGCAGCAGGAGTTGCTTTGCTGCCTTGTGCAGCAGCTGCAGCAGGCGGAGCGGCAGTAGTTCCTACTGCGCATGCACTCCAGAGGCAGCAGCTGTGGCAGAGGTACAGCAGCGGCCGCTGTGGTTTCTGCTGCTCCTGCTGGATTTGCTGCTATTGCTGCTCATTTAGCTGCGCGGGGCTACCGCGCCGCCGTCAGCTGTCTGCCGCTGCTGCTCATGCTGCTGCTGCTAATTCTGCTGCTGGCGCCAAAGGAAGTTCAAAAGCCTTACTGTTTTGCTGCTCTAGCTCCTGCATGCGCTGCTGTCTGCTGTAGGGGGCTGTGGCTCTTCTGCTGCTGCTGCCTGCTGCTGTGAGGTGCAGCCCGAAGGCGCCACAGCAGCAACGGTGGAATTTCGGGTGCATGCAGCCGCAGCAGCAGCAGCAACAGCAGCAGCAGGAGCCCTTCCCTATTGCCCCGGCAGCAATCGCATCTCTGCTGCAGCAGCTGCTTGACGCTGTTCCGGCTGCAGCGCAGAGCAGCAGTTTCGTGGGGGCTCTGCTGCAGGTGGGCCTTTGCTGCTGCTGCTGCTGCTGGTTCTCAGCCTGCTGCTGCTGCTGCGGAAGCTGCTGGTGTTGCTGATGGCCTGATATTGGCTTGTGTCATTGGCTGCATTTAGTGCCATTCTCCGAAGCAGCGAATTTGCCCTTTTGTTTACTTTTTGCAGGTTTTTGTGTTGCTGTTCTCCAAAGAAGAGAAGCAGCAAAAGCAGCAGCAGCAGTTCTTGCGACAGCAGCAGCAGCAGCTGCTGCAAGGCCACAAAAGGCAGGATGAGCAGAACGGACAAGTCCAGGAGCAACAGCAAGATACGCTTCCGAATACCTCCGCGCTGCTGCAGCTGCTGCTGCAGCAGTTGCTGCACTCATGGGCTGCGAAGGGAGTTGCTGGATTGGCGCTTTGTCTTTTCGGTGCCCTTCTACTAGTTGATGTGGACCAGCAGCAGCAGCAGGAACTGCAGCAACAGAAGCTGCAGCAGCAACAACAGAAGCAGCTGGTAGAAACCGAAGAAAACTATATAGTAGAGACCCCGCTGCTCCAGCAGCGAGTACATTTGCTGTCTCTGGAGCTGCTTCTGCTAATTTTAGAAGGAGCAGCAGCAGCACGCCGACGCTCTCTGGTGGCCGGAGAGGACGCAGCAGCAGCAACAGCAGCAGCAGCGACTAGCGAGTGGCGGCAGCTGCAACCAGATGTGGCAGCTCAGCTGCAGCAACTGCAGCAACTGCAGCATCAGCAGCTTAAGTCGCTGCAACCGAAGCTCCCGACACAGCAGCAGCAAGCCCTTAATGCCGCTTTTCTTGCTGCACGGTCAACACAGCAGCAGCTTCTGCAGCGCTGCTGGTTGATGCTGCTGCGAGAGTCTTTCAGCAGGTTGGGGAAGTGTTCCGAAGCAGCAGCAGCTGCTGCTGCACCTTTGCTACTGCAGATAAAAGTGCCTCGGATTTTCCAGTCTGCTGCTACTGTACAGAGCGCAACACTGGAGTTGACGAGGCTCCAGCTGCTGCTGCAGCAGCAGTCGCAAGCATTCGTGCCTCTGTTCAGCTGCAGCAGCAACAGTCGCCCCCAGCGAGCTGTTGCTGCTCCTTCTCCGGATTTGCTGTTGCGCATTGCTGGCCAAACAAGTTGTGCTGCCGCTGCAGCTTACGGGCCGCTGCTGCACATGCAGCAGTGGCGAGATGAGCTGCTGCAGAACATGTCGCGGCAGCTAGATCTACCCGGACTGCTGCTGCAGCAGCAGCGGCTGCTGTTGCAGCCGCAAGACAAAGTCGTGCAGCAGGGCCATCTCGCTTGCGGGGGCAAGAGGGAAGCCTTTGCTGCGCAGCTTCAGCTGCTGCACCAGCAGCAGCTGCTGCTGCAGGAGCAGCACGCGAGCACAAGGCGCAGCACGCTTCGCTACAGCTTAGAAACCCTAGCTACTCAAATGTGGGGCCGCGCAGCAGGTCCATCAGCAGCAGCAGCTGCTGGTGGCGCTCGTGCTGCTGCTGGGGAATCAGACTTGCCTGAGCTGCTCGACGCCTCCGCAGACGACTGCAGCAGTGGCAGCGGGCCCTGCTGCTGCAGCAGAGGCAGCAGCTGCGCCAGCAATACGGCTTCAGCAGCAGCAGAAGCGACAGTGTCCCTCCCTCTGGCTTACTTGCTGCTTTCAAAGTTTGCTGCGCGCAGCGGAGCCACGGCAACTCTGCAGCTGGGGTTGGAGCAGCTGCAGCGCAGCAGCATTCTTGGGGGTCCTGTTTCTGCGGGGCGGCTGGACAGCGCCTTGCTGCTCTTCACGGTCCTTCGCTGCTGCCTTTCTGCAGCTACTTGCTGCTGCTGCTGCTGCTGCCCACAGCAGCAGCAGCAGCGCGGCACTGCCTGCTGCTTGGCCCTTCAGGATGGAGCCTCCATTCAGCACTTGCTGCTGCAGTGCAACAGCACATTTGCTGCTGAGCAGCAGGCGCTGCTGCGTGGCAAAGGTGCAGTGTCTGGCGCGCACATGCAACGGCTGCTGCTGCTGCGGTGTACGTACACTGCAGTTTGCTGCTTCCTTCAGCGCCCACCAAAGGAAGGCTGGCTGCGCCCGTGTGAATGCGCTGATGTCAGAGCAGCGGCAGGAGCTGCTGCAGCTGCTGCAGCTGCTGCTCTCCCTGCAGGTGCGTTTTGGCCAGCACCAACTAGAAGCCCTAGCAGCGGCAGCAGCAGCAGCAGCAGCAGCCGCGCGTGCTTTTGCTCCCCCAAGCAGCGACTCGCGACCCTCGCGGAATCAATGGCCTTCATTGCAGACATACTAGAGCCGACCAAGCTCGACAGCAGCAGCAAAAGGAACAGCTGCTGCAGGAACTGCTGCAGCTGCCGCATGAGCAAGTGCTGCAGCACTCTCTGCAGCGAGTCAACCAAGGGTTGCTTTGATTGCTGCAGCAGCACCAAACGTGTATCACGCCGACATCAACTACCCACTGCTGGTGTTCCTGGCTGCAGCAGCAGCAGCTCTTGCTGCAGCAGCAGCAGCTCATGCGTCATTAAACAAAGGGCCCCTCCTGTTGCTGCGCTTCTACGGCTACTGCTGCTAGAGGAAATAGAGCGCCTCGCAGCAGCCTTCTGCTATGTCGTGCCCCAAATTGCTGCTGATGCAGCAGCAGCAGCAGAAGCAACTGCAGCGGCCGCTGGAGCAGCATCTGTTGCGATGGAAGCGAGAGCCGCAGCAGCAGCTCAGACTGCCAGCAGCGGCAGCAGCAGCACCAGTACATCCGTAGAGAGTGTCACACCTCATAGGCTTTATATACTGGAGCTTGCAATGCGTGCAGCAGCAGATGCTGCAGCCTGTGCTGCTTCAGCAGTTCAGTGGCCCGCTGTTGCAGTTGCTCCACACAGGGACTTGTGGCTGCTTCGACGCCTTCTGCAGCAGCAACCATCGACAGCAGCAGCAGCAGCAGTCAGGCGCAGCAGCAGCAGCAGAGGTGCCTCAGCTGACAAACAGCCGCAGGGGCCGAAAAGGAAGCAGAAGAAACGCAGAGAGCTGAGCACAGACTCTGCAGCAACAGCGGGTGGAGCGACAGCAGCAGCAGCAGCAGCAGCAAATATGCTGTTGGATGCCCCAGTGTCTCTTGTTGCTGCAGCGGCTCAACGGCTGCAAGCCTTTCCCTTCTTCGTTGCTGCTGCGTAAGCTACCAAGACTTTTTGAGCTGCTGCTCGTGCTGCAGCAGCTACCGCTGTCGCTTCTGAGTCGCCGCAGCAGCAATTATAGAACCGCAGCAACCTCAAGGTGCTGCAGCAACCGCAGCACGACGCAGCGATGTAGCAGCTGATTTGTTGCGTGTGATCTGATGCAGCGAGACATGTGCTGCTGCTGTTGCAGCGGCAGATGACCCCACGCTGGCAGTGAGAGAATTGCTGCTGCAGCAGCAGCAAACGCCTGCCGGCGGTGCTGCTGTTCTGTGGCGCCTGCTGCTGCTGCTGCTGCAGCAACAGGTGGTGGACTGCATACGGCCTTCACTCGTAGCAGGAAACAGCCATATTTACGGGGCTGCTGCAGAGACACCGCAGCCCTCCCAGAAGGAGCGGCAGCGCCACAAGCAGCAGCAGCAACAGCAAATGCAGCACGCGCAGCAGGTGCGGCCTCTGCCGGCACTGGGTCTGGTCATACGTTCTCTCCTTTACTGCTCCAACTCTTTGCCTGTTCATGGTTTGCTGCTGCTACTGCAGCAAAGCACGGCAACAGCCCTTGCAGCGGCCTGCTGCATTAGCAGCAGCAACAGCAGCAGCAGAAACAACAGCAGGCGCCACAGCATAGACAAATCAGCTGCTGTCAGTGAGGTTGCGGCTGTTGGACCTATTCAGATTCTGCGTGCTGCAGCCTGTCAGGTGCTCATGCTCAGCAGCATCAGCAGCAGCAGCAGCCATAGCAGCAGCAGCAAAGTACAGGTGACGCAGCAGCAGCATCTATTCTCTTTCCTGCAGCCCCAGCTGCTGCAGGCCCTTCGCGTAGACCCGGGGAGAGCTCTGGAGGTTGCCCTTATTGCCGACTTCTGCAGCCAGCAGCAGCACCACCCGTTGCAGCAGCAGCAGCAGCAGCAGCAAGGCAGTGGACTTAAAGACAGAGACAAATGCACCTACAGGCAGCTGTCGCTGGCCATGCAGATTGACTCTGCTGCGAATGTAAAAAGGCTCATGCAATTCTGCTGCTGCTTCATATTAGTCAATAAATGTTTCTTTCTAAGTTATTTTTTAAATATGGTATTATGTACATTCAAGGAAAAAAGGGTCCTTTTGCTTTTAGCTGCTAAGACCCCGCCTTGCTGCTGCTACTGCTGCAGTCCAATGTGCTGCTGCTTCTCTGCTCGCTGTGAGAGCTTTTCCCTCCGCCTGCTGCAGCTGCCAGCCTCTTTTTGCATGCAACATTTGCTGCTTCTCTGTTTGGTCTTTTTAACTGCTTCGGGGCCTCTTGATTTGCTGCTGCTGCACTCTCTTCGGCTTTGTCGCTGCTGCTGCGCTGCTGCAGCTGGAGGGCAGCGACCCCCTCGCCGCGAAAGCCAAGCAGCTGCGAGTAAGGCAACAGCGGAGCTTTGCAGCTGAGGGTTTAGGGTCTAGAGTTTAGGGTTTGGGGTCTAGCGTTGGGGTCCGAGGGATTGGAGTTAAGAAATTAGGGCCTAAAGTTTAGAACCAAGAAATCCACTGCAGCAAATCTTGGCCTCAGGGCTTCATTGGCTTTTGCTGCTTCCCACAGCCAGTGAGGGGTGCTGGGCTGCCCCTGTTGCAGCAGCTGCCGCTGCTGCCGTTGCTCCGCTGCATTGGCAGCTGCTGCTGCTGCTGCTGCTGCAGTGGGAGCTGCTCCGTTTGATGGGCGCTGGAGCTCGCGATTACTTGGAGCGCCAGCTGCATTATTGGAAGACTATTATAGGGCTGAGGTGAGCAGCAGAAAAACTTTGCTGCTGCCAGATGGGGCATTATTTGCTGCTGTTTGCATGCGCTGCTGCTCTTTGCCTCTGACCGCTACAACCTAAACCCTGTCACCCTTCCTAAACCCTAAACCATAAACCCTAGACCCTGTCTGCGTCTCTTGCTTTCCTCTGTGTCTTTTTTCTACTTGCCACTGCCTCCGTCTTTTTGGCGTTTTTTTCTGTACTTGTCCCACTGCCGGGATTTCTGTGTGTCTCCTCCTCACAGCATCAGGGCTTAGGGCTTAGGGTTTAGGGTTTAGGGTTTGGTACTGCGTGCCGTTTTGCGTCTGTCAGTGGGCAAGCAGTGAGCCTTCCCCCCTCTGCGCGGAAGGCCTTTTTTGTGCAGCAAATTAGAGAGCTGCAGGTAAACCCCAAACCCAAAAAACTTCTCAATTCTGAATTTGCTGCAGCACCTCAGCCCCATGCTTGTATTCTGGGTTGCTTTGGCAATGTGTTGCTGCTATTGCTACTGCTGCTGCTACTGCTGCAGGTGATACTGCTGCTGATGCTGCTGCTGCTGCAGCTGTTTCCGCTACTGCTGCAGGTGATACTGCTTCTGCTGCTGACGCTGCTGCTGCTGCTGCTGCTGCTGTGGTTGTGTACGCAGAAGACGATGCCGTGCGAGGGCTTTTGGCTGCTGACAGAAGAAGTCAAAATTGCGCGGCCTTTGCCTGAGTCGGCAGAGGCGATGCAATCAGCAGTGAAGGTGCCTGCTGCTGCTGCTGCTGCTGCTGCTGCTGCTACTTGCCAGCGGTTTCTTGTGTCTGCCTGCTTCATTCTCTCTTCTTTTCTTGCCTTTTATTTTTGTCTTTTGTTTTGAATTGCATCTGTGTCTTCTTGTCTGAATATATCTGTCAGTCTGCCTCTCGGGCCTCTTGAGGCTCCTCTCTCAGCCATTTTTTTCTCTTCTGTCTTTTCTTGTTCTTCCACTCTTGCTTCTCCTTGTCTTTCTGTGCCTGTTTGCTTTTTTATATTTCATTGTTGCTGCTCGCCCAGTTTGCTGCGTCTCTGCTTGCGGCGGCTGCCCTTTTGCTGGTGCACCCGCTGCTGCTGCAAGAATTGCTGCTGTTGCCGCAAGCACTACTGCTGCTGCTGTTGCTGCAAGCATTGCTGCCTCTGCTGCTCCTGCAAGCGCTGTGCTCCTCGAGACACAAGGCGAAGCGCGGGCACAGGACAACGCAGAGCCTCTGAGAACAGACAGGAGAGCAGAAGCAGCAGCAGCTCAGCAGCAGCTGCAACAAAGCAAACATGAATTGTCTGCTGCTCTTCTTTAGGCTCCTTTCCTCTTGTCTTTTGAAACTGCTGGAGGCGCAGATAAGCGCTCATGCATCTTCAAGCTGCTTGACGACCTGCAGCAAGACGCTCTCGCCGTACAGGCAACTAGGGTTCGTCTTGACAGCTGCTGCTGCTGCTGCTGCTGCTGCTACCTTTGCTGTGTACTCTGCTGCTGCTGCTGCTGCGTTCGGCGCTGTTGTTGCCTCAAGGCCTTTGTTTGTGCTGCTGCTCTTCGGCCTATGCTGTGTCGTTTTTTGCTGCTGCGGACGGCTCCGTGAGTCCTGAACCCATTGCCGCTGCTATTGGCTTTGCTGCTGGGGGTCTTGCTGCAGCTGCGGCTGCATCTTCTGGTGCAGTGTTGCAGCCACCTTGTCTAAATCTGGGACGAGGCAGCTACCGCTGTTGCTGTGGCTGTCTTGCCTTTGCTGCTGGCTTTGCAATGAACTCCAGGAGCAACAATGCAGTTGCTGCTGCTGCTACTTCTGCAACTGCTGCTGCTGCTATTTCTGCTACTGCTGCTGCTACTACCTCTGCCACTGCTGCTGCTGCTGCAGATGTGCCTGTCCACGCTGAGTCTAGCTGGGGAATCTTCTTGGCTGCGGCCTTACGGTGTCACTGCTGTCATTCAAAAGGCAGATACAGCAGGGCAGCAGCAGCAGAAGCAGCAGCAACGATGCAGGAGCAGCAGCAGCAACTGTGACATGGCTCACGGCTTTCCTAGTTCTTCCGCAACAGATGCGGCAGAGTCTGTAGCAGCAGCCGCTCCTGCTGACAGCAGCAGCAGCAAAAGCAGCAGCCTGCCTGTAGTGCCTGACGGGCTCTCATCTGATTCGCCTGCTGCTGCTAAAGGCGCAGCAGGCTCTGTGGCAGCAGCAGACTTTCCATTCGCAGCAGCAGTGGCAGCCTCATCGTCTGCTGCAGTAGCGTCACAATCGTCAGCAACAGCAACTTCAGCAGCAGCAAGAGGGCGAGGCGCAGGCTCCCAGTTTGGGGGGGCCGTTTCTGTTGTCGATAATGCCTACAGCCGCCACCAGATTGGAAAGACTTTTGGTTGTTCTTTGGTTGAGTTTTTTGCACTGGCCTTTCCTAAGGGCAGCAGAGTCGGCAGCAGCAGCAGCAGCAGACGCAGCAGTCTCAAGCGCAGCGCCACAGCGACATTGGCGGCCGACGGAGATCCGCAAAATGCAGCAGCAGCAGCTGCTGCTGCTGCTGCTGCGGCAGCCGCGGCAGCAGCTGCAGGCAGGGGCTCTCCAGTAGGACTGGCCGATAGCAGACAGTTTTTAGGAGGCACCGAGGAAAGTGATATTGACGAGCTGCAGCAGCTGCAGCAGCAGCAACAGCATCAACTGCAGCCAGCGCTGCAACAACCTGTGGGAAGCCCGCAGCAACAGCAGCAGCAGGAAGAGCTGCTCTTGAGCCAAAGACCTAGCCGCATACCTTTGGAAGTTGCAACACAGAACTTCGCCGACTCCTTAGCTGCGTATGCTGTTTTCAGCTACCTGCTGCAGGTTCGTGCTGCTGCTGCTGCTGCTGCCTCTGCTGCTGTCCGTTCTACGGTTCTGAGCCTGCGCTGCATCGTATTTGCCTCGTTCCTTTTGTTAATCTTATCCTCTTTTCCTCGCTTCCTTTCTGCCGCTGCTGCTTGTTGCTGCTGCTTGCTGCTGCTGCTGCTGCTGCTGCTGCGCTGCGGTGGGGGCCAGGTGAAAGACCGGCACAACGGGAACGTGCTGCTGTCGGTGCGTTCTGGGCGTTTGCTGCACATCGACTTTGGCTTTATGCTGGCGATGTCCCCTGGGGGAGATATGGCCTTCGAAAGAGCTCCTTTCAAACTCACTGCGGAAATGGCCAATCTCCTGGGCAAGGAACACGGCGTGCTCTTCAGGGACTTCTCCACCAAATGCATCCGCGGGTGAGCTCCTGCTGCGGCTGCTCCCTCTGCTGCTGCTGCTGCTGCTGCTGCTGCTGCTTTGGCTGTTGCTGCAGCAGCTGCGGCTGCGGCTCCGCTGCGCTGGGCGCCAGGTCGATGAACACCACAGCGGCAACGTGCTGCTGCTCGTGCGTTTCTGCCTTTTGCTGCTATATTTTTTGACTTTTGTTGATTTTCATTTGTCGGTGGCTGTGCTGCTTCCGCTGCCCTTTTCTTTTTTATTTTCATTTTTTTTTCATTTTCGACTTGTAGGGGATTCTACTCTGCCGAAGTGGGCATTTTATAATCTGCGGCTCTTTCTGCTGCTGCTGCTGCTTCTGCTTCTGCTGCTTAGGTTCCTGGTGCTCCGGGAGCAAGCGGACGACTTCATTGCCCTCTTTGATGCAATGCAGCTTTCTCGAATGGCCTGCTTTAAACCCTCTGCCGTAGAAAACCTCAGGTGCCTATTACAGCCTATTGCTTTTAGGGTTTGGGTCTCAGATTTTAGGGTTTAGGGTTTACACGTGAGGCCTGTGGTGCGCCAGTTTGGGCGCATCTTCACGCTTTCGAGTAGATCTGGAGCCAAAAGGGTTAGGGTTTAGGGTTTCTGTACAGGTCCCGTTTTCAACTGCACCTGTCTCCGCTGCAAGCCGCTGCCTTCATGGAGACAAAAATAAGAGAAGCTCTCCAATCATTCACGACGAGGGCTTACGACCTGGTGCAGCAGCTGCAGCAGGGCATTCAACACTGAGTGGTACCGCACCAGCTCGTGCTGCAGCAGCTCGTGCTGCAGCAGCTCGGGCTGCGATATTGCTCAGTGCTGCACGATGCAGTAGCGGTTATCATCGTCAACAGCATATTTTTAAAAGTTTCGTGAATACAGCCAACAAGGGCATGCGCAGCGATACGCCTGTTAGCAGTTGCTGCTGCTGTGGTATTGATTGGAGTTGCTGCCGCTGGTGCTGCTGCAGCTTCTGCTGCTGATTCTGTGCGAATGCAGACTATATGTAAAATGCCTTTTATAGCATTCGTCTTTTGCGCCTAACCTATGAGTTGGTACTTCTGAATCTCGGCTCTGGCATACAGAAAGCATAGCTGGCTGCTGCTGCTGGAGCTGCCGTTTCCAGGCATCACCCGCAGCTTTGCTGCCGCCAGTTGCTGTTGCTTTAGAACTAATCCAAAGTTAGAAAAACCCTTAAGAGTCTAACTAATTCCGTAGCTTTAAGGCTTTAAGCCCAAGCCTGAAGCCCAAGAAATGCAATATAAAGCCATGAACAGGGCTGACTCCGCAGCAACAGAGAAAGGGAGAAACTACAGGATCATGTTTACAAGCTTCAGTATCCCACAGGAAAAAGAAAACGATGAGGTGTTTGTTGCTGCTAGGTGCAGCCTCTGGCTCTGCAAAGAGCTGCTGCCGCTGCTTCCGCCGCGCTTGCCGTAGGCATGCAGTGCGGCTGCTGGCGTGGCCGTATTCTTAAAGAGCTGCCTGTGAAGGCAAGCAGCAGCAGCAGCGAAAGTAAAAGCAGCAAGACGACGTGCAGAGTGCGCCAGGAAGCTGGGAAAGTTCCGATTTCGGACCCAGGAGAACACAGAGTTCACTTCTTAACCCTGGAGAGCTGCCTGCTCTGATTTGTTCGGGCCCCACATGCCACCAGTTTTGTCTGAGACAGCTAGAGAGAATTCGGTGCCGCGGGTGCTGCAGCACAGCTGCAGCAGATGCCGCTGCAGCATATGCGCCGCGTTTGCTGCAGCTGTGCTGCAGCAAATGCGCCACGAGAGCGCCGCTGAAGAGAAGTTACGAATAATCTTCACTGGCAGCAGAAGGCGCTGGAAGGATCAGACGACATATCTGCCCCCTCCCAGCACTTTCGTGGTTTCTTCGAGTTGAAGTCTTTTTCTTTTCTCGAGGCCTTGGAACGCTGGCGTCTGCTCTTTGGGCTCCATATGCAGCTTCTTCGCCGCAGCTTCGACTTTTTCTTTGGTCAAAACATAATTCGGGTTTGTTCGCACTCCCCGAGGAGGATCCATGTGAACGTTTGCCGGGGCGGTGGTTCCAAAAGCCCAGCCATCAGAAAGCTCCTCATCAACTTCCTGCTCAGCAAACACAACTCAAGCTCATACGTTCCGTACACAGCTGCTGCTGCTGCTGCTGCTGCTATGTCTTGCTGCCGATCATTCTGCTGGAGACGGTGGGGTTGGTGCTAACGGCGCAGCGGCCACACCACCTCAACGGTCACAGCTGCATATGCTGAACAGCAACAAAGCTGCAGCAAAGCAGCACGAGAAAGTGCGCTACGTCACCTGCTGCAGCAGCCTGCAAGATGTTATGTCGTTAATGTAGGCCCCGAATTCCCGTAGTCGATCGAACGGTACGATCTTGTCTTTTGGGTGTTTCCGTCGGCTGAACAACCGCAGCAACAACAGCGAAAGCGGCTTCACAAAAGTCAACAAAAACTGGAACGAGGCTACCGCTAGCAGCAACAGCAGTAGCAGAAGCAAGGGCCCAGTCTCATTAAACTCGCCGCGCTTCCCACTACCCAATCAGCATCACAAGCAGCACCAGCAGCAGCAACAGCAATTTACTTGGGCCTGCTTCTTCCAGAGAAAAGCGCAGGTAGGTCTCCCTCTGCTGCTTCGTACAAAAGAATCAATTCAGTATCCATAGCGGCTGCATGTAAGAAAGAAAGGCAAAACGCAAGCCTTGATGGGAAACTGCGTCGCTGTCTGCTGCGAGCTTCTCGCCAGTTCATCTAAAGCATTCTGAACCTCCTTCGGCTCAGCAGCAGCAGCGCAATTTTGCGTTTTAAGCCTAATGCCCCAGGTAAGAAGTTAAGGGTTTCCTGCTTGGAGCAAAGAGCCTCACCTTGGAGTTCTGCATGCATTTCTTGTTGCACGAACAGAGGTGTGGGTGCCTTTGTCTTTGGAGTTTCCACAAAGGGTTTCGGTTGCACAACAAGGTCTTGTTCATATTCGAAGTGGTAACACCAGGGCAGCTTTGACCTGTACTCTCTTTCGCTGTCTTGCTGTGCGTCTTGGCCTTCTTCTTTGTCTACATCCATAGCCGTGTCTATATTTCCACGACTTAATAGGGCTTGCATAACACCACATTTAACTTCCCCTTCTAGAGGCTTTGCCGGGGCCCCCCGCAATAAGCTCCGCCGCTGAAAATCTTTAAAATCCCCTTGTGGGGCCCAGTGTGGGGCAGTTTCTCTTGCATATTCCAAAGCCCATTGAGAGGGCCTCTGGGGTATCTTTTGGGGGGCCTCCTGTGGGTTCAACTGGGGAGTTGGTCCTACCAGCTCTTGGGACATTCTCGTTTCCTTGGAAGCCTGAGTCGGGGGTCCCGCAATGGGGTAAGCTGCCAGGCCCGGTGGACCACTGGACCAGTATCCCGGTGGGAAGCTGGAAAAGGGGCCTCCAGCAGGGGCATTTCCATGCCCTGGGGGCACAAAATAGCCCACCGGGGGCCCCGTTAAAGCTTGTACCTGGGGCCAACCTGGGAAACTCTTTTCTTGAGCCCATTCCACCGAAGATGGCAGACTTTGGGAGGCACTGGGGGGCCCCTCACCGCTGGGCCGGGGGGCCCCCCAGCGCCTGTGGCGGCTTCTTACGTATTTCTCGTAGTCTTCATTGAACTGCCTTTTCAGGATGTCTTTTCTGAAAACAACCTAAAGCAGCAAACACCAAACAGCACATTGTTGCAGCTAGACCTGCGGCTGTTAACAGCAATCTGTAAACCCTCGGCTTTAAAGTCTGAGCCTTTTGAGTTCCGATTCAGTCGACAGTATTATTAAGATGGAGATTTTGAGAGCCCAAAGTTTGAAATAAAGAAAGGCTAAGTGTTTGGCATCTTATCTGAGACTCAAGGCTCACCTGTTCGGTCTTGATGAGATACCTCAGCATCCGAGATCGTCTCCATCTTTCTCTTTCCCAGACGCCCCATTGCTTCCTGCTGTTGAGGCTTGGGCCTTCTTCATAGTCCAGGCCAAAACGCAGCAAGTGCTCTCGGGCTTCTTCAGTCAAAGGGGGCCCCCCGGGACCCCCCAGAAACTTGTCCTGGCTAAGTGCAGGCAGCAACTCCAGAGGCGGGGAGTCGGGCTTCCTGTGGGGCCTCGCGTCCCCGCAGAAGGCCCCACTGCTGCTCTCTGTCTCAGATGCGGACAGCAGCAAAGTTTCAACTTCAGAAAGGGCCCCCTTGTGCACTGCGGAGTGCTTTAGAGAAAGCAAAATACTCTCAAGGGGCCCCCAGTCGCCTCGCGGGACTGCGGGGGGCCGTCGACGCTGCTGCTGCTGCTGCCTAGTCTCGGCGTTTTCCTCACAAGCAGCAAACCACTGCTGCTCGGCAGTAAGCTCCACAAATTCCTGAGACCCCACAGACACAATGCACTTCATCTAGAAATCTCAAAACCTCAAAAGCTCCCCCATCACTCAGCAGCTAAATGCTGCACTGATGCATAAACCCTAAGCTCCAGGCAAATGAAAAGCAGCAGCAGAGTGCAGCAAAACTACGCATTTTGCTGCTCGTGCCTCCGTCCTTCTTGCTCCTGTTCAAGTTTGGCTATCTGGGGACTCCCACAGCCCCTTTTTGTTTTCTCTTGTTCAATTGTCCCTCCATCTCTCTAGTATCTGAGTCTTTCCCTAGCCTCTCCTTTCTCTCCGTATTATTCTTTATTTCCATTCATGTTTAAAGTCTGCTTTGTTTTGTTAAATTGGCTGTCTAAGTAACTGCATAAGGCACTGCCTCTTCTTCTCTGTATTCCTACTTTTGAATAATAACTCTATTTGCACTCGCGCGCCACCGCAGCACGCAAGCCACTCTTCCGGTCTCACCTCCGAGCTTTCAACGCTGCTGCTGCTGCTGCTGCTGCTTCTGCTGCTGCTGCTGTTGCTAGCTATGCTGCTGCTGTCTCGCCTCTCCCCGCTCTCCCCAAGGCCCCCGACTAGGCCCAACCTGGGTGTGTGTCCCCAGTAATTCTGTGGGGCTGCCCACGGCTCTGCTGCAGCTGGCTTAAAGGCAGAGGGGCCCTCTCTAATGGGCTTGGGGGCCCTAGGCGGAAAGGGGTACTCCAGCCCGTTGACCTTTCTTGTGTGGGTCACAACACCGAACCTGCGGAGGTCTGTACGGTTAGATCTCCTCAGCCACTTCAATGTAGGCGCTTCTGTATCATCTGAGGGCTCTTCTTGCTGCGGCAGGACCCTCAGCGAGGACCCTGAGGGAGGGCAGCATCGAGGGCCAGAGGCCCCATCCCGGGGCCCAGCGTGGTGGCGAGGCATGCGGGCTTCGTCTTGGAATTTAACTCATTAAATGTTATTTGGAAGAAAAATCAAGAATTGGGTGTTTTCTACACAAAGGGAAACTCAGCACACCTTTTGCCAGCCACATGACCAGTGGTCTACCAGCTCACCACAGCCGCCACTGAGTTGCAGCACGACTTGCTGTGGCAGCTACGATCTATGCCAAGTTCTACCACAGTGAAAGGTTAACTAATCAGCATTAAGTGGTTTCTTCTTATTAAGTAATAAATGAGTATGTTTTCATCCTTGCAATGCCCATACGTTTACCACCACCTGCGAACACAATGTGTATGCATCGAAGTCTATGCGTCGAAGTCAACTTGATGTGAATGACTCCACATATACACGAATGCACATATATATACACACATACATGCAGATGTAAAGAAGAGAATTAGAAACATTAAAATGCATGGAAATATTAAATTGCAGACGCTTATGGATACATTCTACGCACACATTGTCCAACAGTGCTCTAGCATGTACGGAGGTATGCACAGTCAAGAAGCGGGCACCGTCTTAGCCTGTTTTTGTTTTCATTTTAATTTCTTATTTCTTATGTCCCTGAAAATTTGACAAAAATTTGCCGTGTCTCATTTCTGCGTTGTCTGTGCTCGTTGGGGAAGCCACCACATTACAGAGATATACCTCTGTATTCCCCTAGATTCGTATTATTCACTTTTGACCCTGAATTTGCATTTCATTTTCAGCGTGCAGGCCAGGGCTAATGGAGTCACAGTTGTCTCTATGGTGCGCCTTATTTTGTCTACCCTGCAGTCAATGTTTTTTCGAAATTTCATTTTATTCCTTCGGTAGTTCCTCATGCATGTATACACCTGAATCAACGCGCATAAACACATACAGTGCAGGATTTAAGCTTCTCTTATCAAAGTAAAGTCCCGTCCATTTGTTTGTTTTGACTCAAATTAAACTTGCCTGTCAGAAACACCTTTACCTCATATTTGGCTCTGCTGTGCATAGCAGTTACGTGCATCACTTCAGCATTTATCACAAATAAATTTATGCTACCAACATGAACATGTGGACAAATGAATCTGTGATTTCGTACTACTTTTTGCAATGGCTACACTCATTTCGTACCCTTATCCGCAATAACGTCTATCTGCGCATCACCCCAAAGGTGAATTTGTCGAAATTAATTAGTAATGTGATTTGATTTAGCAACATTTTATGGCACTATTGTACTGTGTGTAATGGCCTCACAAAGTGTTCACTAAGAAATATTGCAGGCAGCTTTTCACATAGTGGAGCGTTGGGCTCAAGTACTCTTAACTTCGGGAGCCTACAGATCTCGGGGCCTGTAGACACAAAAGTTACTCAGAGTGTGGCTTCCCTGTCTGAATCTACTGGGATGAACCATGTCTGCAAGTACACAATAAATATACGCAATACAAATTTGCTTTCTTAAAAGTTATTTGAAGCAGCCTGTGCTGCGCTAAGTCATTTGCAGCGCAGGTGTTCTACAGTTAGCCATATCTGGAGAAACTCCCACAGATAGTAACCCCGCACTCTGTCATCCAAAGAAGCTGCGAAAGCCCCAGCTAGCCTCTTCGCATCGTATCAGTTCTAAATTCTCTTACCTCAAGCCCTGCACTTTCTTACAAATTGCCAGGAACTCGTTACTAACCGCGACATCAAGATTGTATGCTCAGTATGCTTTCTCTGTTTCTTTAATGGTTGCAGCAGCCAAAGCACCAAATGCGTCACTTGTCGGAAGCAGCCACTGTTCCACTGGTGGCGCCTTTTGCAAGGCGGGCCATTCAAAAGGACATTCCACACAGGATCTTTTGAAGTGGAACTTGGGGAATCGAGAAAAAATAGTGAGTTGAGATACTCTCCGTCCCAGGAATCCTCAGTATTTGCGGGAAAGAGACGCATTACATCATATTTCATCTCGATTAGCTGAGCCTTTTTGCATGTAAGCAATCTTTGAGAAAGAGTAAGACGAGCCTAACAACTTCCAAACGCTACACAGACCCTTTAAGTTCTCATCCATTCAAAATCTATGAGCTTCGCTGACTTTTCAGGCCGCAGCAAAGCTACCTCTCCTCACACAGCAACTCAGCTTTTCTTTATTCTCTGAAATATACAGAGAGCTCGTAGAAGTGAGGAGAAAGATCCTTCTGCGCTGGCCAGTGGCTTCCCAGGGGATCCCCACTTGTGCGGAAAACTCTTCATCCTAAGATTAAAGTTCAATATGATCAGAAAACAATCAAAATCAGGAGAAAGTCCGAGGTGGATTGCTTTTAATGGGTCACCACTGGTGCTGACTAACACCCAATTCCGGATCACTTCGTCAATTGTGCTACAGATGGCGCTACAGTCACCGCCAGATTCGAAACTGGTAAAAAAGTTTTGGGAACTTGCCGAACACCTCAGACGCTAGTGCTTACGGCATCAGTGCCCCTTTGAAATAAGTGGTGAAGGTCAAAGCCACAGAATGGCGGCATTAAACGGCTATAACGAGCCTACGAGAGTCGAAAATAGCCGCGCTAGATCTTTTTTTCAGTGTTCCAGTTACTGTTGTTGCAAGCTTTGAACATACTCTGATCTGTCTGTTCCGTTACACAGGATAAGCACAAGCAGCCATAACGACTTCAATCCCTTCTTACGGGAAATGCCCCCAGATTTTCTAAGCTGGAAGCAACTGGCTCAAAAGCATGCACAGACATCTGTGAAGCTCTTGTACATCACCTACCACTAAGCCAGACCATCTTTGAATTTTTCAATTCTCATTTTCATCGTTGCAGCCCATGTCAACCTTGCATTCACCTGGCAGTGATGTAATACGCAGCACTTCAGTGGCATTTGAATGAATGTAATTCGGAAATCAAGATTGGTGTAATAGCTAAAGTTGCTACCGTGCAAAATGGCATTTTGGGCAATCAGGCATTATGCGCCGCGCAGTTGAGCCCAGTAACTCAAAACGCACCGCTTTGGCTGTGTGAATTTCTAAAAAGCAGATAAGCCTTGCAACTACATGCACACACTGATAAAAAAAATTGTATTGAAGGTCTTTCAATGTATTGTTTATACTGAGGGTTTTTGCAAACATTTCAACAGTCTCTCTGCTGGTGCTATACTTACAGTTAAATGTTTAACTAAAACTGCTTAGAGCCTTCCCGCCGAGCCTTAGGGTCTCTCATATTCAAAGTTTTGTTCTGGGGTGAGGAACTGAAGCTGCAGTAGCACTTAAGGAAACAGAAACATTGGAAGCAGATGCATTTGTTTATAGACTCCGGGACTAGAGCGGGGAAATTTCAGTCCCTCCAATTAACAGACTTTCTCTCGAGTGAATAGTACTGGGTATACAGCTTTGTAGCCAAAACGCGAGGAAGACGTAGGAGCCAAGCTGCTGCAAACTATTACGCACGCGCGAAGTAGGGGCTTATCTAATAGTTTCAATGTTGCTTAGACACCTTCATATAGCTTTCTGCTAGTTTTTTTGCGAACTTTATTAGAGGGAATGCCCTAAATAATAGCCAGACCCCTCGGCCCTAGGGTGAAAATGTCGATACACTAGGCGTGCAGTGCTAGACGCGGCTGCACAAGGCCTTAAATGAATTGAAACTACTCAAGACATTGCATAAAAAATAGTTCTCTCCTGGAACAACGTGGGAAAGGCCTTGGCAATCGCACCTGCTGCTGAATCCTTTCGTGAAGCACAGTATGTCCTAGTACACAGCTGAAGCTTTGCGGGCTGGGGTTTGCAGTAAAGACTGAAGCGCTGGCATTCACCCGTTATTTCTGCATGCAGGCTAAAGAAAGTTGAAAACAAAGTCGAACTGAAAGCTGTGTGAGCTGCTTCAGCGGGCATTTGTACAGTTGAAGGCGAGGGTGCGTGTGTGGACGCCCACCGCTCCTTTAGGTTGTAGGTGTCAGGGGCCAATTTGAGGAGGCTCTATGTGCAAGTTTCCCATTAGACAGCTATTTTAAATGTAAAACAGCACGACAGGTGTGTTTTGGTGGGGTTGTCCTCCAGTCAAGCGCTGTGCAGACGCGGAAACGCCCCCACGGCGGCTAAGACCGGTGCACTTCCGGGGACGGCGGGCGGCACTTGATCTTCCTTGAACGAGGGGAAACGTTATTATTTTGAAAAGGTAATTCATGACTAAAGTGTTTAGTATGTGAAGCAGTTTGTTTGGTTATTTTATTGCTTAAAACGCCAACACCACCCGCATATGCCTATTGTGCGCAGCTGCGGTGTTGCTCTGCTGCTGCTGCCAGCAGTTGGCAGGGGGGCACATGAGAAGAGAGCACGTGTCATGGCGCGTCTTCTTCTACGATTTTTGCATTAGGACGGTTTTTATTTGTTTGTAAAGAGGGTTTTCCACAATTTTTTCATTTTTCTTTCGGCTCGTGGGGCCACTGAGACTGTGTGACTCGCCCCGCTGCTGCTGCTCGCTGCGGGCGTCTGCGCGTAGCTGCGGCTGCCGCTGCCGCTGCCGCCCTTGTCTTAGTAGCATAAGTTTGTTCTTCTGCCTCTGTACGGCTGAGCCCCACAGCTGTGCGCGTTGAATTCGGTTGTAGCGTTTTCGCGCTGTGTCTTCGCGGTGCCCCACTGGGTGGCCTGGCGTGGCCGTTGCTGGCGCTCGCGTTGGCGTTGCTGTTGCTGCTGCTTCTGCTGCAGCTGCTGCGGCCCCGAGAAGCCAGTGCATGCGCAGCAGGAGCTGCTGCTTCTCGCTGCAGAGGCGGCACCGCGCGGGCTGAGGCCGCAGCCGGAGGGAGTCAGGTGGGCGCAGCGCCGCGCCGCCGCGTGAGCCGCGGGGGGCGCCTCGGGAGCAGCAGGAGCAGCAGCAGCAGGAGGAGCAGCAGCAGGAGAAGCAGCAGCAGTTAGGGCTGGCTGCGGAGCGGAGCGGGCGATCTGAGCGCGTTGCGGCGGGGCGGAGTGCGTGGAGCAGGTCGAGCGGCCGGGGGAGCGGCGAGGAAGGCGGACACTGGGCGCTGCTGCTGTTGCTGCTGCTGCTGCTGCGGGTGGGAAGATGACGGCGGCGGGGAAGAGCGGGGGAGCGTCGGGGTCGAGCGCGCTGACTGCAGCAGCAGCAGCAGCAGCAGTTGCTGCGGTGGTGTGCGCAGTGAGCTACCGGCCGCTGTGCAGGCTGCTGGGCCTGCTGTTTCCCGAAGAGCTGTGGGGCCCCGGCGCGGGCCGCGCCTGGGCCGCGCGGCTGAAGCCCCACATCATCCTGACTTGCCTGCTGTACCTGCCAGCAGTTTATTTGCTGCGGAGGTTCATGGCGGGGCGGCCGCCGCTGCTGCTGCGGCGCTTCGCCTTCTTTTGGAATTTGTGTTTGTCAGTTCTTTCTTTTGTGGGGTTTCTGACGGTGGTGGTGCAGCAGCCCGCGCTGCTCGCGGTGTCTGTACACCCCGAGCGCCTCTTCAAGCCGCCCGTCCGCGTCGTCGTCGCGCTCTTCACTTTAACTAAAGCTGTCGAGTTCGGCGACACTTTCATTTTGGTCTTCAAGAAAAAACCGCTTTCTTTTTTGCACCTTTACCACCACCTCAGCGTCACTCTCTACTGCTGGTCTGCGCAGCAGACCAACGTCGGCTTCGCCCACGGCTTCGTCGTCATGAACTTGGCCGTCCACGCCCTCATGTACCTCTACTACTGCATGACTTGCTGCCTCCCCAGCAGAAGCAGCAGCAGCAGCAGCAGCAGCGGCGGCAGCAGGCAGGCGCAGCCGGCGGGCAAGCTCGCCGCCGCCGCCGGCAGCGGCAAGGGCGGCGCCGTCGCCCCCGCCACCCCCAGCAGCAGCGGCACCCCCAGCAGCAGCAGCAGCAGCAGCGGGAAGTCGGTGCTGCAGCAGGTGCTGCGGCAGGCGCGGCCCGCAATAACTCTGATGCAAATTGCCCAAATGCTCGTGGGGATGTACCTTGCAGCAAACGGGGCTCTGCGTCTTTCAGATCCGGAGCAGATTTTGAATGCGCAGATAGCTTTGGCGATGTACACTTCTTACGCAGTGCTGTTCCTGCGGCTGTACTGCAGCAGCTACTTGCCGCACCTCAGCAGCAACAGGGTGCTGCTGCTGCTGCTGCTGCACTTCCTCGCTGCAGCGGGCCTCTACCAGCTCGCCTGCAGCCCCGCCAAGGCGACCCTCGTTGCGCACGTTGCTGCTGCTGCTGCGCTCTCCCTGCTGCTCGCTTCCCTCTGCTCCAGCAGCAAGCACGGCAAAAGCAGCAGCAAAGATACCAACAGCAGCAGCAGCAGTCGCTGGCTGCCGCTGCTGCTCGCCTTCAGCTTCCCCTGCGGGTTGGCGATGGCTGTCAAGAAGCAGCAGGACGAGGCGGCCGCCTCCGACGCAGCAGCAGCAGCAACAGCTGCAGCAACTCCCGCTGCAGCACAGTCCCCCGAACGCTCCGCGTCTGCTGCAGCTGACGCGGCAACTGTAGCCTCGAGCAGCAGCAGCTCAGACGGCGCACTGTCGAGCAGCAGCTGCTCTGCTGCAGCAGCAGCAGCAGGAAAACCAGCAGCAGCGGCGCAGGGGCCGCAAGGTAAAGGTTTGATACGTCAGCTGACACACAAAAAAGCAACTATAAGCCTCACTTGGCTGCAGCTTGCTGCTGCTGCTGCAGGAGCTGCTGCTCCTGCGGTGTATGGACACCTCGTCTTCGGCCATTGGGGAGTGGGACTCTGTGTCTTTGGGGGCCTCAGATGGGCACTGGAGCTACACCTCAGCCAGCATGCACGCTTCATGTGAAGCAGCAGCAGTTTAGCAGTTCAAGCGGCAGCAGCAGCAGCGACAGCAGCAGCGGCAGCTCCACCAGCAGCAGCAGCAGCTTCAGCAGCAGCAGTAGCGTCAACGATAGATGTGTGCTTGCTTTTTTGGACCCGCAGTATCGACGTGAAACGCAGCATCAGCAATAGCAGCAGCAGCAGCGACAGCAGCAGCAGCAGCAGCAGCAGTTTGCAGGCAGGGCCCACCAACCAGCTTCTCCGCGCAGCAGCAGCAGCAGCGGCACGAGGTGCTGCGTCCGCTGCTTGTTAAGAACAGCAGCGGCAGCAGCAGCTGCTGCTGCCCAAAACCGCACAGCGAGGTGGGGCAAATTTTGTTTGGTTGCTTCGTTGCAGCAGCAGCAGCAGCAGCAATTGCTGTTTCAAAGACTTGCAGTGGCAGCAGTACGGTATGTGCTGCAGCAACACTGGCTACTGCAACAGCAGCTGCAGCAAGAGTTGCTGCAGCTGCTGCAGCACCAAAGCCGTCCGCGTTGTTTGTCCAGTGTCCTGGGCAACAGCAGGGGCAGCAGCTTTTGCTGCTGCTGAGCAGCCGCCGATGCTGCCCGAGTAACCCGAGCAGCAGCAGCAGCAGCGGCAGGCGGTGCTGCTCTCGTTTTAGGTAGTGATGCAAAAGACCAGTCGGGAGGTCTGAACTCAATGATGAACCCATTTGTAAAGTCCAGTGAAGAGCACGAATAGTGCAAGCAGCAGCAGCAGCTGCGGATGGTCCCGTTGCTGCTGCTGCTTTGCTGCTGCTGCTGCTTAGTCACCATTGCTGAGACCCCTTTGGGTGACTGCAGCTAAATTCCAGCCGTAGTGGAGGGTGCAGCGGCAGCAGCACTAGCAGCGGAAATTATCCCTAGCTGCAGCTGCAGCAGCGTTAGCTGCTGCAGGACCAGGCCGCAACAGCTGCAGGATTAGCACTAGCAGCAGCAGCAGCAGCAGCAGTTCTGTGGGCGCCCGGCGTGCTCTGGTGCTTCTTGTTTTTGTCTTTGGTTGTCGATTTGGATTTCGGCCGCGCGCTGCTGCCTTTTGTGCTGCTTCGTTAGCTTTAGGAAATTCGTGGCACCAGCTGCTGCTGCTGCTGCTGCTGCTGGGCTTGCTGCTGCTTGGGGAGCAGCAGCAACGCCTGCAGCAGCAGAGCAGCAAAAGCCTGCAGCTAGCTGCTCTTCGAAAGGCTCGTGCTCCTGCTGCTGGCTTTGCGGTGTCTAGACAGCTCAGCCTGCGGCGGAGGGGGCTCAAGCGCCAGCAGCTAAAGCGCAGCACTTTAATTAATTCATTTATAAATACGAAAACAAATATTAAAGCAAATTAAACAAATATTTCAGCAAATTATGTTTCAGCTTCTCTAAACTGAGCTGGTACTCAGCATTCCGTCGCTACCTGCACTTTCGCCTGGTGAAGGCGCTGCGCAGCTGCTGCTGCTGCTACTGCTTTTGCTGCTGCAGCAGCAGTTGCTGCTGCTGCTGGTGTTTCTGGGGGACGTGCTTCTCTGCGCCAGCTGTGAGGCAGCAAACTACGACAGCAGCAAAAGGAGTGCTGCTGGATTTGCAGCAAGAAATAAAATGTTTATTAGGGAATATCAGCAACAGCAAGGAGCCCAATGCAGCAGCAGCAAATGCAGCAAAGCCTGACAGGCGCAGCTTTAGAAAATGAGAAGCGCAGAAACACCAGAAATATAATTCTCCACCAAAATGTCAAAAGCAAAGAGACAAAAGTAGCAGCAAGTCAAGGCAGCAGGAGAGAGGCAGAGCTGCTGCGCCCTGTGTCGCTGCGCCGCAGGCTGCCACTGTGCTGTTGCTGCCGCTGCAGCAGCAGCAGCAGCAGCAGCGGCTTCTCGGCCTGCCTCTGTATCTACCTACGCCTTTCTCTGTGTGCGCGGAGCTTTCGGTCGAGTCGCGACACCTTCCGACGCTCCTAACCCTAAAACCCTAAACCCTAAACCCTAGTCCGGCAAGGGAAAGGTAGAGGTCCAGCAGTTGCAGCTCATCGGCCTTCAGGTTCGCGTTGTGGCCTACAGCTGCGGGCAGCAGACTGCCGCACAGCAGGCTGCACCACAAACCCTAAACCCTAAACCCTAAACCCTCAGACCCCAAAGGTAGATTCTGAGCAGTTGGTGACAAACCACGCAGCAGGCTGCACCACAAACCCTGATCCCTAAACCCTAAACCCTGAGCCAGCAGACTGCCACACAGCAGGCTCCGCCATAAACCCTGACTGCTAAACCCTAAACCCTAAACCCTAAACCCTTAGCCCTAAAAGCTAGCTTCTGAACCCTTGATGACAAACCACGACGGACCAAAAGGGCCAAACATGCGCCAGTGGGCGGCGATCAAATATAGGTGATAGCTTGGGGTTTAGGGCTTAGGGTTTAGGGTTTAGGGTTTAGGGTTTGAAGCGTACTCCTCAGAAGGTGTGCTGCTGATGCTTGATGACTCGGGTGGTTTAGAGCTTGGGGCTTCGACGCAAAAGTACATGCTGAAGGCACACAAAACCCTAAACCCTAAACCCTAAACCCTAAACCGTATACCCTAAACCTTATACCGTAAACCCCAAACCTTTAGCCTCCAGCCAGAGACGGCAAGTAGGAGTAAAACCCTAAACCCTAAACCCTAAGCATTAAACCCCAACGCTAACATTCCTACTCTCAACGACAACCCGAAACCCTAAACCCTAAACCGTAAACCCTAAGGCCCCTGTCCCAGCCCTCGACATCAACGCCAAACCCTAAACCCTAAACCCTAAACCCTCACCCGGCAAGCACTTGGGCGAAACCCTTCAGGCAGTTGAGGTGCTGCACCAACTCGGCCAACACAAATTTGTGACAAAGATTTAAACCCTCGCATGCAGCACCAAGCCCCAAAGGAAGCCCCACGTACTCCGCAGTGGCTGCTGACGAGACCTGAGAAGCACCAAAACATTTGCTGCTGCTGCTGCTGCTGCTGTTGCTGGTGGTAGGGGTAGTGGTAGTAGCGCTTCTGTTGTAGGTTTTAATGCTTCTGCTGGCGGCTGCACGTACCTGCTGCTTCTGCATAATCGCCTCAGCCTTTGCTACTGCTGCTGCTGCTGCTGCAGCAACGCGGTGCTGCAACAGCAGCGACAACAGACACCCCAAAAGCCTGCACGCCGGTACCACACAGTGCGGGCAGCAGTTTCCCTGCTGCTGCTGCTGCTGCTGCTGCTGTTGCTGCAGCTGCTGCAGCGGCTGCTGCTTTTGCTTTTCGTGCTGCGGCTCCTGGTGCTGCAGCTGCCGTCCTCACGTACCTCATCCAGCAGCGAACGTACACTCCCAGAGAGATCTGCTGCTGCTGCTGCTGCTGCTGCTGCTGAAGCATCTCTGGCGTGGTGGAGCCAAATTCAGCGCAAAACACTTCTACGAGATTTGCTTCGTTTCTTGAGGCGCGCTGGCGCCTCCTGCTGCTGCTGCTGCTGCTGCTTTGGTGGGACTTCGGCACAGCGCCTTGCAGCAGCAGCAGCAGCTTCTGCTGCTCAGAGATGAGCTGCAGCAGCTGCTGCGCCGCTGCTGCTGCTGCGGGGGCACCAGATGTGGGAGGCAACTGCTGCGCAGCTTCGGCAGTCTTCACAGCCGCAGCAAACAGTTGCGACACCCGCTGCTGCTGTTGTTGCTGCTGCTGCGGCTGAATTTGCTGCTGCAGCAGCTTGGCCTTGAATAGAGACAGCAGCAGCAAATCCCTAAGGATATCTCCTCGCAAGAAGGGGAGCAGCTGTAGCCATACTGAGGGCTTCAGCAGTTGCTGCTGCAGTTGCTCCGCTTCCAGCGGTTCCTGCGGCAGTTGTTGCTGCTGCTGCAGCAGCTGCTGCACCATTTCTGCTGCTGCTGCTGCTGTTATAGAGGCCGCAGCTCCGAGCAAGTGAGTTGTTGGAACGCAACCCCACAGGTAAAGGCTGCAGAAGAAGTCCTTTAGGTGTGCTGCAGCTGCTGCTCCGCCTCCTGTGGCCGGAATCGCTGCTGCTGCTGCTGCTGCTGCTGCTGCTGCCCGCTGCAGCGAAGACCCCAGCAAACACCCCGCGGCATTCAGCAGCCCCCCCAGTGTCCCTGCCACATCCGCAAGATCATTCTGTAGAGGTGACAGCCAGAACAGCAGCACTTGCTGCACTTCCGCTGCTGTTGCTGCTGCTACGTTGCTGCTGCTGCTGCGGCGGCAGCGGTGGCCTATTGAGCCCGCAGCAGCAAGTAGCTGCCGCGGCAAAGACGGAGCAAAAACGCCAGCGGGTGCGCGGCCAGCAGCAACTTCAAATCCTCTGCTGCTGCTGCTGCTGCTGCTACTACTACTACTTAAAACAAGCTCTACTTGGGAATCCTCCGCAAGAGAAAGCACTTCCCTTTCCTCTGGAGGCGGCGATGCCTTAATGAGACGATAGGCTCCCTTTAAAGTTTTGCTGAAGACCCCGCAGAGCTGCTGCTGCAGCTGCTGCAGCCGCTGCTGCAGCTGCCGCTGCTGCTCCTGGCAGGGGTCGAGGGGGGAACCATCAGCTTCTGCTGCTGCTTCTGCTGCCGCTGCTTCTGCGCCTGCTTGGAACGCCTAAAAGCGCAGACACAGCCACAAGCACTCGCCTATGGCAGCCACAGCAACAGGCACAAGCAGCAGCAGCAGCAGCAGCAGCAGCAGCAGCAGCGTACCGCATGCAGCATGGAATAGTGGTGCGGCGCTTCAAGGCCCGAAGCGCTGTCCTCAGCAGCAGCAGCAAGAAGAAGAGATTGGCCCAGGAAGGTCCAAGCAGCAGCGACGCAGCCGAAGTAGTGCTGCGGTGTACAGACACAATCCCGAAGAAACAAACTCTTTAAGAAGCAAACAGGAAATGAAATAAATGGAAATCACTTAATTAAACAAACAATAAACAAATAAACAAAATGCATGCAAACAGCACCTACTGTTTCCTCTGCTTCAGCAGAAGACACCCTGCTGCTGCTTCCTGCTGCTGCGCCTGGCTGCAGCTCCAGCTGCTGCTGCTGCTGCTGCAGGGGAGTTTCCCTTTGACTCTGCGCGCACCACAACTGCCGCAAAAGAAGGAATAAAGAATAAAACTGAAGAAGCAAAGAATCGAAAGTGCAGCAAAAAGCAAAAAGTGGAAAAGACAAAAAGGAAAAGAAAAAGAGGGCGGGGCTTTGCGTACGGCAGCTTTGGCAGCTGCATGCAGCGGCTGTGCAGCAGCAGCAGCAGTGGAAACCGCGTAGGCGCTACCGCTGCTGCTTCTGCTGCTGCTGCGCTGCAGCAGCAGCTCGTGCAGGGACTGCAGCACGCGGGGCAGCAGCTGCCTCGCCACTGCAGTCTTCAGAGAAGCAGCATCGCTTATTATTTCGTCTTGAGGTGTATAGATCAGCACTTTGGCAAATCTCACAGCCCTGAAGGCTGAGGCTGAGCAGGCCCCTGCTGCGCACTCTGCTGCTGCTGCTGCTGCTGCTGCTGCGGAGGCTGCTGCCGCTGCTGCTGAGGCTTCTGGAGCTCCCGCCGCTGCTGCAGCCGCAGAGAAGCTGGAAGGAACGAGAATACTGCTGCTGCGGCTGCTGCTGCTGCTGCTACTGCTGCTGCTGCTCTCACCTGCCTCCAGCATCAGCAGCTCCCCCGATCGTGTGCAACACGTGTGCTGCTCTGGGGGGTCGCCTGCTTCGCTGCAGCTGGTGGTGCTGCTGCAGCTGCAGTTGCTGATGCAGCTGCTGCTGCTGCACCAAGTCGGTGCTGCTAGTGCAGTGGCAGCAGCCGTTGCTCGGACTGCTGCTGCTGCCCACCAGCCGAAAAGAGAAGCTGCTGCTGCTTCTAGAGATGCAAAGCTCCTGTCAATGCACAGCAGGCTCACAGGTGCAAGCTTACTGCTGCTATTGCTGCTGCTGATGCTGCTGCTGCTGCTGCATTCGCTGCTGCTGCGGATGACGCTACAAGCTGCGGTGCTGGCGGTGCTGTTGCCGCTGATCTCCCGCGAAAACAAAGAGCTGTAGCAGCAGCTTGGGGTGGCGGCTGCGGCAGCAACCGCAAATTGCTGCTGCTGGGGCTGCAGCAGAAACTGCTGCTGCCGCTGCTGCTGCTGCTGCTGCTGCCCGTGCAGCGTTTGTGACAGACACGCAGTATAGGCCGCTGGAAGCCCCCCAATAGACCGGCCGTGAAGAGCCGCTCTTCGAGCGCCTGCAAAACAGAGAGCCCGACAGTAACGTATTGGGTTAGCTGCTGCTGCAGCTGCTGCAACTGGTGCAGCTGCTGCAGCTGCTGCTGCTGCTGCAGCAACTGCTGCTGCTGCTGCAGGTGCTGGGAGCACACCAGCAGCGTAGACACAGAGACTCAAGATGACTGCAAAGAGACAACAAAGAGCAGACTGAAAAGGCAAATAAAAATGTAAACTAATGGAGAGGCGGCTGAGATGCAAGAGAGGAAAGAACTTAAAGAAATGAGGTTCAGGTGTACGTACACCTATTGCAGCAGCAGTAGTGCATTAGTTAGTTCGCAGTATAGAGAAGCAGCAGCAAAGTGGAAACGGAGAAACGCAGCAGAAGTAGAAGAAAAGAAACAAAATAAAGGCAAAAGAAGCAAAAAGATGAAGAGGCCGCGGACAAACAGAGGCGAAAATGAAGAAAGGGAAAGGCAGCAAAAAGCAGCAGCAGCAGCAGCAGCAGCAGCAAAAGAAACTCGCAAGGCTCTGCCCGCTCACCCGCAAGAGAGCCAAGGAACTTGTAAAGAGAAAAACCATCAGCGAGAACATTAAAGAGAGAAATGCTGCCGCCCGAAGACGAGCAGCCGCGGTAGTTGAAGCATAAAACGCTGAGACCCCTGCGAATAATTAGGACAAATGAACAGAAAAGTGGAAATATATTCAAAATTCATTGATATTTCCTTTTTTTCCCTTTTATTAAACGCAAATTCGCAAAAATGTGCAACGAAAAGAAGACTTCGGGAAGAAACGAACATTTGCACTGGCGACAAGCTGTACTTACACCTGCGCTAAACTCCCTGCGCTCTGCATGCAAACGGATTCAAAGCAATTCAAATAATTCAAAAGTATTAAATTAATTAATATTAATATTAATATTTATATTTATTTTCATGTTCCAGTTCAAGCATGGAGTGGATTAAATAGAAACGCATGCACGCCAGCTGCAAATGCCAGCAGCAGCGCCACACAGATTGAAGACAAAGAAGTTAAAATGAATAAACAATTCAGAAAAAGAATCAAAAGAAAAAAATAAATTAAAGAGAAAAGATAAATTGTTCAAGCAGAAAATGAATCAAAAGAAGCAAATTAATTAAAGACAAACTGAGCAAAACAGAAATCTCAGGAAGAATAAACTCATTAGTTAAGGGCGCAGCGAGAAAATGACACAACAAAATAACTGCTAGGTCAAGAACCGGTGCTGGTTACTGCAGCTGCTGCGGCTGCTGCAGATTGCTGCAGCTGCTGCAGAGTGCTGCTGCTGCTGCAGATTGCTGCTGCTGCTGCACCTGTTCAAGTAACACTCTACTTCAGGGTCTCTGCCAGCAACCATCATCTCGAGGGCCCCCGCGTTAGGGTTGAACATCAGCACCACGTCCCCCCCTATAGAGATCCCGCCTGCTGCCGCTGTTGCTGTTGCTGCTGCTGCTGCTGCTGCTCCCGCTGCTGCTGGTGTGCTGCCTCCAGCCAGCTGGCCTGGGCCGCGGCAGCCGCACACGAAACGCAGAGAGGGCGAAGGCACCCCCTTGGTGTTCTCTGCAGCAAGTAGAGTCTCATGCGTACACTTTTGTCTGCTGCTGCTGCTGCTGCTGTGCTGCTGCAGCAGCAGCTCATGCTCCTGCTGCTGCGAGTCGAAACAGCGCGTGTAAAGGCAGGTCACGGATTGCACGGCTCTCTGCTTCGCTGCTTCTGCTGCGGCTGTTGCTGCAGCCAAACTGAAGTTCATGAGAGCAGCAGCCGCAAGTTGAGGCTGTGCTCGCTGCTGCTGCTGCTTCTGCTGCTGCAGCTGCTGCTGGTGCGCACTGTCGTCGACAACCTGAAGCCGGCGCGCGAAGCCTCCCATTCTGCTTTCAGGCCTCAAAGGTGCTGCTGCTGCAGCAGCAGCAGCAGCAGCAAGATACTGCTTCGCTAAACACAGCAGCAGGGAAAATGCTGCTGCTTGCAGCTGAGATGCTTCAGCAGCAAGGCGGCACAAGAATCCCTCGGCCAGCGCAGCGCGCACTGCAGCACAGCGGCTGCCATTTGCTGCCAGCAGCTGCTCTGCCTCTTGCTGCTGCGCTTCCTGCTGCTGCTGCTGCTGCTGCGTTGCATCTGCAGGGGCGCCGGCTGGAGGGCAGTGGCGGCAGCGGCTCGGAGGGAAGCAGAAGTCGTAAGGCAGCATCTCAGCAGCAGCAGCTGCTGCTGCTGCGCTGCAGCAGCAGCTAGCTGGCAGCAGCCAGTGAGTCCCCGGGGCCGGGATGAAGAGACACTGTACATACACCTGCTTCGGGGGAGGGGGCTTCAGCAGCCGCGAGACTGGCAGCAGCAGACGTTTTGCTGCTGCTGCTGCTGCTGCACCTTTCGCAGCGCAGCTAGCAGCAGCACGAGGCAAGGGAGCAGCAGCAGCAGCCCTGGGCTGCAGGGTCAGAGAGTCGTCGGCCGGGTGCTGCAGCAAAGCCGAGTGCTGCTGCTGGAGGTTGAAGACCCTGCTGCTGCTGCTGCTGCTGCAGCGGCCCCAGCAGCGCACCACGAGCCGTTTTGCTGCAGCACAAGACCGAGCCGCAGCAGCAGCAAAGTGGGCTCGCCGGCTGTGCTGCAGCACCGGCAGCCAAACCTCAACTCCTGCTGCATCTCCCTGCAGGCCCCACACACCTGCTGCTTGCTGCTGCAGCAGCGGCAGCGAAGCCAGCGGGGGGGGCACGAGGCAGCGCAGCAGCAGCAGCACGAGCCGGGAGAGAGGTGACCATTGCTGCTGCAGCTGCAGCGCTTCTTGCCGCCGGTGCTGCTGACTGGACCTCTGGAATGGCAGCAGCAGCAGCACCAATGCATGCAGCTGCTGCAGTGCAGCAGCGCATGCACGCACGTCCTCTGCAGCGGCAAGCTGCAGAGCAGCAAGAGGCAGCGTTACCTCCTGGCTGCTCTCGCCCCACAAGCTGCTGCTGCTGCTGCTGCTTGCTGCTGGCGCTGCTGCTGCTGCTTTGCTTTCTGCTGCAGCTGAAGGGTGCGGCAAGCCCAGCACATGCACCAGGCGGTAGCTCTGCTGCTCCGCTGCTCCTCTTTTAGCAGCAGCTGCTGCAGAGGAAGCAGCTGCAGCGCGTCGGGAAGATGCTGCTGCTGCTGCTGCTGCTCCCGCTGCTGCTGCAGTGACGCAAATGTCGAAGAGCTGCGCAAGGAGAGAAGCAATAGAAAAGGCAGTGGCCTCCTGCAGCCAGGATAAGCTGCATCTGTCTAGCTGCTGCTGCATCCATCCCGGCAGCTGCTCCCCGGCCGCTTCTGCTGCTGCTGCGTCTGCGTCTGCTGCTGCTGCTCCTGCAGCACGCTGCTGCAGCAGCCCGTCGGCCTTGAGGTGAAGAGACTGAAAGGCGAGAAGATGAGAAGACAATAAGAAGCAGCAATCTGAAAGACTTTCTTTCACATCTCCTTCTTCAGCTGCAAACAAGCTGCTGCTCTGCACAGCGTCAGCTGAGCTCAACAGGGAGAGGAGCCCGCTGCTGCTGCTGCTGCTGCTGCTGCTCGTGTCACTGTCGCTGCTGCTGCTGCTGCTGCTGGGGAGCGAGCGGGAAAGACAGGAGGGAGCAGCAGAGCTGATGGCAGCAGCTTTTGCTTCTTCAGAAAGGCCGGGAACGGGAGCAGCAAGGAGGTGCAGCAGCAGCAGCTCGAGGGGCCGCAGGCGCAGCAGCAAATCATCAGCTGCTTCTGCTGCGAGCTGCTGCTGCATGTACCATTGAAAGATACTGTTGCTGCCGGGGAAAGCCAGCGCGAGAGTGAGGGAGTAAACAGCAGCAGCAAAGAAGCAAAGACATGCTGCGCTGCTGAGCAAGAAGGAGCCCACGAGAGACTTGATAGCAGCAAAGAAACCCCACAGTGCTGCTGCAGCAGCAAAAACAAAACAGCACTTCAGACACAGCTGCCTGCAGCGCTGCGGAGGCTCGAAGTGAAACCAAGAGAGAGACACGCGGGCGGGGAAGCGCGGCGGCGAGGCGCCCCTCATGCCGGCAGCAGCTGCAGCAACTGCTGCTGCAGCGCAGCAAGAGTCCGTGGGGAGGCAGCAGCACTTGCTGCAGCAGAAAAAGAAGGGCTAGGGGCCTCGAGTGCTTCCAGCTGGCTGCGAAACGATGTATGTACGAGACATAGGGGGTGCTGCAGCCTCCAGCGCAAGGGGGGGGGAATGGGGTGGTGAAGCAGCAGCAGTTCTCTGGAATTTGCAAGAAACTAAAAACTTAGAAAGAAAGTTTGCTGCAGAACAAATTGGGGGGAGGAAACTGCTGCTTTGAGCTGCTGTCGGGGCCTGCAGCGCGGCGCTCAGCGGAGAAGAAACGCCAGAAATGCAGGATCAGGGGGCCCCTCGACCGGCTCTGAGTTTGTAAAACATGCAGCAGCTCAATCTAAATACTTCCTTTTATTATTCGCGCTGTTTAGGCAAAAACTTGGCAGCTGCATGCGGCAAACTCTTCCGCAGTCGTCCGCTGGCGTTGAGAGGGCCCCAAGTGCGCTGGCTGGACCGCGAGGGGAGGGAGGGCCGCCCGCGAATAATACCGAAGCTAAACAAATTTTAATGCAAATTGAAAAGAAGTATTTAGGGAAATTAAACTCTACTTAATATAAGGTCTTGGCTAATCATTTAATGGGCTACTGCTCACTGTCGGCAGCGCCCGCGGTGGTCCGAAGGTTCTGCTGCTGTTGGGCCGCAGCCACCAAGCTGGAGCTGAAGAGGAATTGTGAGGCGCAGTTGCCCTTAATTTATTCGAAACTTCGTAGATAGACTTTCGCGTTTTTAATTAGAGGAGCTGCTGGACAGATTCTTGGCTTTTTGCCGTTGGAAACAGTAAAGCGCTCAGCGTGGAAGGCGCCAGCCAGGCACACGGCTCGAGTCGGACGGCTGGTGGCATCGATTGTCTACACTTTTTGTCTTCTGCCCGCGATTTTCGACGAATGATTTGATCAATTAAAGTCAATTTACTCTAAAACGAGGCGAGCAACCGGGCAGACAGCGGCAATGAGTCGGCGCGGCACAACATGAACACAACCTCAGCGGCTTCTTTCCCTTGGCGTCTGATGACCAGACCTCCTTCTCTGAGTCTTCGGGGAGAACCCCGTTGCCACGGAAATAGTGAAATGAATTTTGTTCACGGAAAGTCATGTCCTTCTGGCCCTCTTTTCTTCCGTTCCGAAGTGGGTTCAGCGTCGCCCGCCCCTGAGAAAACGACCGCCGCCTCGCGGTGGCTCAAAGCCGTCAAAATGCGCTTTTCTCTCCTTTTTGCAATTTGCACTTTCATTCTTTTCTTACTGGAGCCTTTGGCTTGCCAGGGCCACTTCCTGCACTCGGCCAGGCGGCAGCAGGACCTCCAGCAGCACCGATATGACGGCTATTCAAGTTCAGGATTTGAAGACGCGGAGGCCGCCCACGCCCGAGCCAAAGAAGAGCTTGCCCAGAGCCTCGGACTTGTCCAAATAGAAGAAGAAGGCCCCATTTTGCATCAAGAGGCTGCGGGAAACGCGAGCGAAGCGGCGGAGTGGTACTCCCACGTCCTGGGGAAACTTGAACGCATCACCAGACACGAAGACGGCGGCCCCGAATGGATGAGCATCACCCTCGACCCAGACTCTGGCAATACTGAAGAGGGGGCCCTCCAGAGCTCGCCTTGGGGCTTCATGGGGGCCCCCAGGCACTCCCCGCGGTTCCGCCCAGTACTGCAAGATGAGCCCGCGGGCCTGCAGTCGGCGCTGCAGCTCGCAGCTGGCGAAGCCCCAGAAAGCAAAGACAAGAAAGAACATGCAGAAACAGCTGCTGCTGCGGTTTCCCCGCACAAAGGGGCCGCGGAAGACAGCGAGAAGCGGCAAAGTTCAAGTCCGAGCGGCTCCCACGGAAGCTCCGCAGTGGCCGTCGCTGGCGGAGATCTTGTGAAGGGCGTGGGAGTTTTTCAAGTTATAGAAGACGAAAACGCCTTAGACGCGGACTCTATTGTGACAATAATGTACAATTTTCCGCTGGAAACGATGGAAAGCAAGCAGATCGCGTTTGTGGTGGTGGCGCTGCCGCCCAAGTACACGGCGCGGAAGAGCGGCTGGATCTGCAGCTCTGAGGACCCCGAAGTGCCTCCTTTGAAGTGTTCGACTCGGAAAGCCTACATGAAGAACAGGCCGGGGAGTTTGAGCACTTTCGTGACGATTTCGAGTGCAGAGGGGGCGCGGAGTTTGCCGCTGGGGCGGCACTCGTTTCGGCTCGCCGTGCATACTCCGGACGAGTCGCTGTCGGTTGTGAATCCCGCGAACTGGTGGTTTGCGACTTTTCGCTTCACGGGGGGCCACGCCATCACGAAGCACTGGGAGAACCGGAAGCTGATCAGCAAGCGGGGCTGCATCTGGGGCGAATGGCGGCAGGAAACGCCGTGCAGCACGACCTGCGGGGGCGGCTTCGAAGTGTGGACGCGGAGTTTGTATTCGGGGGAAAGCGAGGAGGCGTGCGGGGGGGCTTTCATGAAGCGGAAGTGCCAGGTGGAGGCGTGCAGCCTGAACTGCCAGCTGGGCGCGTGGGAAACGATGGCGGACTGCACCAAGAGCTGCGAAGCGAGCGACAGCACGGCATTTAAAATTCGCATTCGAAAAGTCCTCATGGAAAGGCAGGGCTGGGGCCGCGCGTGCGCAGACATGCACCCCTGGGACGCGGAGTTGGGCGTGGGCTGGAGCGAGAAGATGCAGGCAGTAGTGAGTCTCGCGCCGTGCGCAGCCAAGTTCAAAAAGGCCTGTCCAGAGCTGCTGGGCTGCAGAGTGGAAGAAAGCAACAGCCGCAGCATTCCCGACGCCTTTCCCTGGGGCGCCTGCCCGTTCCCCTGCGGGGGCTTCGGGCGCATCACTTCGCTGGTGCAAGTGGCCAACGGGATCCCGCGGTGGATAGGCGAGCAGCAGTTTCCGGAAAGCTTTCAAATTCCCTGCAGAGCCGACAAAGAACCACTGGTCACCACCCGCGCATGCAACACCCAGCCCTGCGAAGACTGCGCAGTCTACATTGAGAACCCCATCTTCGGCAGAGCCACTCGCGCCTGGATCTTCTTCTTGCCCACCACAGAGGCCGACAGTGCGGAGGTCACTGCGCCCCGCGGTGTCCGCATCGTTTCGCCCGCTGCTGCTGCTGCTGCTGCTACTGCGGGGGGCCGCGGCGAGCCGCAGCAGCCGCGGCCCTTCAAGGTCTCGCCGCTCTCCTCCGTGCTGCCCCCGGCCGTCGGCGCCGCCCGCAGCCTCCCAGATGTTGCTGCTGCTGCTGCTTCGCCGCAGCAGCTGCTGTCCTACAGAGAGCAGTTGGGGACTTGTGAAAATACTGCAACTTCCTTCGGCCCCATCAGCAGCTGCACTGTTGCCCCGTCCAGACACTACGCGGGCGCGGAGGCTGCGCTGCTGCGGCTCTCCGCGGTGATCGAGCCAGCAGCAGACGAGCACGGCGCCGCCCCCCACCCCCGCAGCAGCAGCAGCAGCAGCAGCAGCAGCAGCAGCAGCAGGCGGCCGCAGTGGTTCGCGCTGCCGGTGGTGCTGGGGCAGCGGGAGGACATGGAAGACGCGGGGAACTTTTACTTGTGGCTGACGCGCAGCAAATTCCCCAACGACCCCGAAGTCTTCAAGTGCCACATGCGAACGAAGTTGCTGCTGCCGCGGCGCTGCAAGTTCAGCTACAGGCCCAAAAAGCCCCAAGACTGCATGCAGTGTTTGCCGGGAGCAGCAAAGCCCATTGAGACTTACCGGAGGTTTTTGCCCAGCGAGCACGGCGGCAGCTGCGACATTCCCCACGAGCTGCAGCAGCAGCAGGAAGTCCTCGTCACCACCAGTTGCGCCAAGAGCTGCAGCCAGCTCGGGCAGAAGCAGCTCGCTGCAGCAGTCGCTGCAGCAGCGGCTGGAGAAGCAGCAGCAGCAGCAGCAGCAGAGGAAGCGGCGGCGGAATCCAAAGGCGCCCCCGGCGCCAAATTCCCCTCCAGCCTCCGCAGAATCAACAGAAGAGATCTGGCAAACATGGTGGCCCAAAAAAGAGCTGCAGCAGCAGCAGCAGCAGCAGCGCCAGCAGCAGCAACAGCAGCAGCACCAGCAGCTGAAGGGGAGGTTCGGCTGCCCGTCGATGACAAAACGATGCCTCTTATTGGCAAAACTCAGCCGACCCCCGAGGAGGAGAAGGGGCAGCAGCAGCAAGAGCGGCAGCAGCAACAGCAAGGAGAAGCTGCAGCAAAAGGCCCCACTGAGGCAGTTCACGCAGAAGAAAAAGCTGCGAAGGAGCCATCAACAGAAGCGGGGACTCGAGAAGAAGCAAAGGCACCCCAAGAAGCAGCAGCAGCACCAGCAGCACCAGCAGCAGAAGCAGCGCCAGCAGCAGCACCCGCAGAACCAGCACCAGCAGAACCAGCAACAGCAACAACAACAGCAGCGCCAACAGCACCAGCACCAACAACAGCAGCACCAACAGCAGCAGCGCCAGCAGCAACAGCGCCAGCAGCAGCAGCACCGGCAGCAGCAGCACCAGCAGAAGAAGAAGCACCTCACCCTCCGTCAACAGCACAAAAGGCAGGTGAAGGAGCTGCTGCAGCTGCTCCGGCTGCTGCTGCTGCAGAGCCAGAAACTGCAGCAGCAGAATCGGCAGCAGCAACAGCAGCTGAGTCAGCAGCAGAGGGCAGCGAAGCCGAGAGCGCTTCTGAAGGTCCAGCAGCATCAGCTGCAGCAGAGAAGCCCGCTGCTGCTCCTGCTGCAGCTCCTGCTGCAGCTCTTGCTGCTGCTGCTGGAGAGGAAGGGGAGGAAGAAGCAGCAGCTGAAGAAGGTGAAAAAGAGACGCCAGAGAAAACAGCAGAAGAAGCAGCAGAGAGCAGCGCCGAAGAGTCGGAGGGCCAGAAGGGAGCAGCAAGTGAAGCGGAAGAGCAGCAGCAGCAGCAGCAGCAGCAGGCGGAAGCGCCGGAAAAGGAAAAGGCAGCAGAGTCAGAAGCGCAGGAAGAAGAAGAACAAGAAGAAAACACTTCAGAATAAACATTGGAGAAGCAGGAAAGAGCTGCCTATACACCTGAAATAGCGGAGCCACAAAACAGTTGTGCTGCAGCGAGAAGCAAAAAAGTGGAATCTCGGCTTTTTTGTTTAAAGCCATTGCATGCAGCATCTCCACTATTATTTAAATAATTTAAATTCATTTAATGATTATTGTTTATTTGTTTGATTTCTTGTTCCTGGCTTTGTTGAGCTTCCATCTTCTCGGGCTGCAACTAAGCGCCTCGAGAAGACTTTATTTAAATCGTTTTCTTTTTTGCTTCAAAGACAGGCTCCACAGGCCCCTGCTGCTGCTGCTGCTGTTGCTTCACCTGGCGTTGTTGCTGCTGCAGCTGCTGCAGCTGCTGCTGCTAGCATATACACCACTACAGCAGCACGACAGTATGGCTTTAGCAACGTCAAGGGGGCTTTTAGCTGCTTCCAACATCAGCTAAACATGCTGCTGCTGCTGCTGCTGCAACGGCAGCGTTAGCAGCAGCTGAAGCAGCAAAACAGCAGTTAAGCAGCATATGTGTGCAAAACTGAACATATTTATTTTTAATAAAAGTGCAACTGCACTTAATTCCACTACCTCTAACTCCCGCTGCCCTTCTCTATTTCAAATATACCAAGACTAAAGCAAACTCCCTAACCTAGCAAAAGCAGCAGCAACTACAGCAGCAGCAGCAGCAACAGAAGCAGGGGCGCAGGTAGCTGCCACAGCAGCAGCTACAGCAGCAACAGAAGCAGGACCGGAAATAGCCGCCGCAGCGCCCGACACCACCAAACACAGCAGCCCCGGCAGCAGCAAGACAAACAGCAGCAGCAGCAGCAGCAGCAGGGGTGGAGAAGAGATCCAATAAATAGCTGCTCTCAGTTTTCGTTTCTTCATTCTGCTGTCAGGCGCGAGCCGGCAGGGCGGGGCTGCGCTGCAGCTGCTGCTGGCATATAGAGGAAAGCCTCCGAAGAATAATTTACATATTAAATATAAATCCATTAAGAAGCAAACTTAAATGCAATGATTAATTTAAATACTTATTTAAACAATCACTTAAATGCAACTTTAATTAAACAGGAGCAGCAAAAGCTGCAGGTGAAAAGCACATGAAGGCCCCAAAGAGGGCAGAAGCTGCGGCGCTGCGCAGCCCACTGCATTCGCTGCTGCAAAATTAGGGTTTAGGGTTTAGGGTTTAGGGTTTAGGGTTTGGCTTCAGGGTTTAGGGTTCGCAAGTCTACAATCGACGCACAACACCGTCCACAGAATCCTCCCGAGAAGCAGAAGTAAATGCCAGAGGTCTGTGAGCTGCGTGCTGTTCTACAGACAATCCAACAGAACAGAAGCTGCTCTTCTGCTGCTGCTGCTGCTGCTGCTGCTGCTGTTGCTGCTGCTGCTGCTGCGTCTCGGCTCCAAACGCCTGGAACGGCTGCGGCAGTGTCGCACAGGGAAGCTCTGCTTCTGTGACGGCTGCCGCCGCTGCTCCAGGTGCAGCAGCAGCAGCAACTGCTGCTGCTGCTGCTGCTGTTTCTGCTGCTTTTAAGTGTTTATACTTCGAGTCACTACGCCTTCTAAGCACATCATGACTGCCTGACGTGATCTTGGGCCGCTTGGGGGCCCGCAGCTTCCCAGTTGCTGCTGCTTCCGCACTTTGCTGTTGCTGCTGCTGCTGCTGTTGCATCTGCAGCACCAGCTGCTGCTGCTGCTGCTGCAGCAGCAGCAGCTGCTGCTCCTGCGCGGGGTCCTTTCTACTACTGGCCGCCTGCAGCGGCAGTTCTGGCGCGTACGCAGCCGCAGAAGCAGCGGGGAACGCGTGGAAGGGCATTAGCTGCTGCTGCTCCCCCTGCTGCTGCTGCTGCTGCTGCTGCTGCTGCTGCTGCTGCTGCTGCTTCTTCTTGGCCGGCGCCGCGTAGCTGCTGGGCGCAGCAGCTAAAAGGGCGCCTTCTGCTGCACCTGCTGGCGGTGCTGCGTCAGGAGCCTGCAGCGCCAAAGCCAGCAGCTCTTGAGTTGTTAAAGAAGCAGCAAATTGCATGTCCACTTCGGTTTGCCCAGGGGCCTCCCGCAGGCCCAGCTCCACACGCTTCGCCTCGTACCTGCGACTCAAACCCTAAACCCTAAACCCTAAACCCTAAACCCTAAACCCTAAACCCAAGCTCCCGCTCCGTTCTGCAGCGTGCTGCCGCCGAACACCCTCTCGAGCGCAGGCTGCCGCGCTGCGCCGCGATTTACCGCCCAGAGCCTAGGACTTCGAATCTAGGGTTTAAGGTCTAGGGTTTAGGGTCTAGGGTTTAGGGTTTGTGCGGACCAGTCAAGGGCCTTTTGGTGGGCCCCTTCAAAGCCAAATTTCTTAACAGAAAAAGACGCGCGACTTACGGCCCAGAGCCTAAGACTTCGAATCTAGGGTTTAAGGTCTAGGGTTTAGGGTTTAGGGTCTAGGGTTTAGGGTTTGTGCGGACCAGTCAAGGGCCTTTTGGTGGGCCCCTTCAAAGCCAAATTTCTTAACAGAAAAAGACGCGCGGTGGCGGCCAGAGCCTAAGACTTCGAATCTAGGGTTTAAGGTCTAGGGTTTAGGGTTCACCCCCGGGGGCCGCCGCCCGATCTGCAAAAACCCCAAACCCTCAGCCCTAAACCCTAAACCCTAAACCCTGAACCCCCGGCCCCAAGCCCCGAGCCCTCGCGCCCGCCCTGTGCTGCCAACTCCCCGCGCTTCGGCGCCGCACGGGGCAGCCCCGCGCCTAGGGGGCGAAAGTTTAGGGTGTAGGGTTTAGGGTTTAGGGTTTGCACCTTCATGAGGGTTTGCACGGCCTGCCTGTGGGCCTCCCGGGCCCCCAAAGACTCTATGAGGCACTTGCGGCGCTGCAGCACTCCGTCTCGCAGCCGCCACAAAGCATAGAAGCAAAACCCTTCTTTGTGGTATACCACAGAGGGGCAGTGCGGCAGCAGCTGCTGCTGCAGCAGCTCTTCCACTTCTGCTGCAGTCAGCGGGGGGTCTTCTCGCGGCTGCGGCACCACCCACCACTCTTCCCCTGCTGCTGCTGCTGCTGCTGCAGCTGCTGCTGCGCTGGAACCAGCGGCTCCGCCGGCTGCAGCGGAAACGCCGCCGCACACCGACCCGCCTGCAGCTGTTGCTGCTGCTGCTGCTGCTTCGGCTTCGGGGCTGCGCTGCTGCTGGGCAAGGGGGGAGGCCTGAGAAAAACTGCTGCTTGCTGCTGTTGCTGCCGCAGCAGTTGCTCCCGTTACTGAGCGTCGGGGCTTCGGGGATACCTGCTGCTGATGCTGGCCGTGCTGCTGCTGCTGCTGCGGCTGCTGCTGGTGCTGCTGCTGCGGTTGCTGCTGCTGCTGGTGCTGCTGCTGGTGCTGCTGCTGGTGCGGTTGCTGCTGCTCTGGCTGGTGGTGTTGGTGCGGGTGCTGCTGCAGCAGCTGCAGCTGCGGATGCTGCTGCTGCTGTGGCTGCTGCTGCTGCTGCTCAGCAGCACCGACAGCAGCAAACCGCTGCTGCACTCCTTGGAAAGGAAGCAACGTGCCCCCTGTACTCTGCTGCCGCAGCAAATCTTCTCCAAAGGGCACGCAGCTGACGTCTTCGCCCGCGCCCTGTACGTACACGTGAGGCTGCTGCTGCTGCTGCTGCTGTTGCTGCTGCTGCTGCTGCGTGCAAGGGAGCTGCATCTGAAACGGTGGCGGCAGTTGGCTCACAAGCGTCTCGGTAGGGGAGTGCTGCGACGCTGCTGGGGTTCCATCGACATCAGCAGCAGCAGCAGCAGCAGCAGCAGCTGGTTTTAAAGACGAGCATTTCAGGCCATGAAGCAAAAATGCTGGCGCCGGACTCGCTTCTTGGTGCCAGGCAGGAGAAGCAACAGCAGCTGCAGCAGCAGCACGGAGACACGAACAGCCTTTGTTGCAGCAGTAGCAACAACGAACAGCAGCAGCAGCAGCAGCAGCAGCAGACTCACCAGGAGGAGACGTAGGGGCTGGGAGGCAATTTTCAAGTTGCTGCGGGCCTTCCCTGCTCTCCCTCGTGCTGCTGCGCCAGTCAGCTGTGGGGTCGTCTGCTGCTGCTGTTGCGGCATCAGCAGC